TGATTTTGGTGACATCGGCCCGGTCGCCAAGACTCGAGAAAGCATGGCCTGGCGTGCTGCTACCGTTTACCGAGAGATCGATCGCTCAACGGTTCGGGGACCTTGTTGTCTTTAGTTAAGGAGGGGTAAGCGGTTTTCATGTGAAGAAAGACAGTGAAAGGAGGGACGACATGTATTGCTTCCCTGTAAAGGAGGATAGGAGGATGGGAAGTGGTGCGGGGTGTTGAGGTCCAATTGGATGAAGAATTTGGGAAAGCAAGAAGGTGTTGCCGGTGTATATGCCTATGAGCAAAGGTCAACCGACAAGCGCGTTAAGGCCCATTTTGAGAGGGGGAGGGGTCGGGTCGCATTCGCCAGTATGGCAAGGAGGCAAGGTAGCACTTGCAAGCGGTACATGTAGGACAGCCATCCGAAGGGTAAGCTAGGCGGGAGAAGATCGGTTGATGCGCGGTGACCGGACGTTTATGATGCTCAGAGACCGGGACGAGTCGTGTGGTAAACGTAAGACATGGCAAGTAAGAAGCAAACGCATCTTTTCGCCGTTGCCGTTTCCATTCCGATCTGGCTGGCATCAGCATAGTACAACGACTGTCTGTTAGGGCTGGTATGCTTTCAGCGACTGGTTACCGCTTTTCAGTGGTTGCGGTGCTAACTTCCATTTCCCGGTCGCGGAGGGCGGAGGCCGGTGGTCCAAGCGCGCAGTGACAAGCCCGCCGCGACTGGCCAGGGCAACCAGGCGACCTACCTCTAGTGAGACTCGCATCAATTCTCGCCTTTGTATAGAGAACAGAAAGACAGCAAATGGGGGCATATCGGCAGTGAGGTACTTGGTGGTTATATGGTAGTTATGAAAGGTGTAGGCATCGAATTGTAGATTGATGAGCGACCTACGTGGTGTTGTTTTGAAGGGTACACCGCATCCCCACCAATAGGTACCGGGCCGCCGTGCCCACCAGCCCGCTGTAAACAGAAAGCCGCTGCAGACACTTCTAGCCAAGGACAAGTACCCTTAAGCACATTTTGAAATCGCATTTGGTCTCCTATGCATATAAACAGGTGTAAATCTGCCATTAAATCGATTTGATACTTTTCTTGGGAATTATCAAAGAGATCTAGTTTATACTGATTGGATGGAGAATTATGAGCGAGTGTCTTGCGAGGATGTACCTACCCCTCGATAGCGGCACTAGCAGGCACCGCACTGGCCTGGCCCCATCCAGTTATGCCCGGAATGTCACTAAGAGATCATTCTGCATTCTGAATCAAATATCCCTTCTTTATATCTGGAACTGTCATTGAGCGCAGGCTCTTCCCTTGCGCCTCTTTTGGGGCGCCCAAGGTGCTGAATTTTGGTCCTTTGGCGGCTGGTTGAGGAACAGGAGATACAAGAGCTACACTCCATGCATGCTCAAAAACTCCCTAGGTACGTCCGTTTTTCGAGTGCTAGAAGGCAAAGGAACTACACTCGCGATTCTACCTCCAAAGCAACCTAGAGGTACCTTTTCAGTAGTTTTCTTGGTCTCATTTTGCAGTCTAACTCAAAGAAGGATAACAAGTATCGAAGATGAAGTATACCATTTAATACAGATTCCCAACAAAGCTTGAAGAGTTTTGATAGCGTCATATCATGTGAGGAAATCGACGGAAAATAATGTATCGATCGAAGACAAAAGCAAATGCGGAAAATGTACGGAACCTGTGCCCTTCAAGACAGATCGTCTTTCTCATCCATCTCCTCATCCATGTTCTCATCCGTCTCTCTCGTAGTCTCCATCGGCCCGCCCTTGCCCTCCACTTCAGGCTCATCTGTAAAAATTTTCGTGCTCCTATTGTCCTCAATCCTTTTCACAAACTTGTTGACGACTTCTTTAAGCTCATCGTCCAGTTCCATTTCGAAATCTTTTCTTGTCTTCATAAATCTGAACCAAGTGTAATCGTTGATCCTCCATTTCGGGTACTCCATGATTGAGATCAAAAAGGGTCTTCGTTTCTCCCTCAACCGTTGCTGCCTTGGTTGATCTCTTCTCGTCTTATGCCTTCTGGGACTGCCGAACTTTGACTTCTTTAGTCTTATTTCTCTCTTATACCCCAGCTCTTTTCGGAGGCGCAAGACGTCGCTGAGCACCGGGTTCGCCGTGGACAACAGCATGTCGAAAGTAAATTCGACTTCGTCTATGAACTCCTTGGTGCGGCTACCTGTCACAGCATCCAGAGTCATCCATATGCATTTCTCGTCCGCCTGATCGGCATGGCCGTTACTCAGTACGTATCGAGCAGTGTCCGATGAAGTGGAGATGTTTTGGCAAGCTGATCGAAGGAGGTTGACACTCATGCTCATGTCTACCTTTCCAGAGGCCTGCATAAAACGTAATACCGGAATTTGACCTCTGGCAGCTGCCGCTTCTGCCGCCGTGGGACTTTGGAGGGATTTGTTCGGTTTTATGCCCTCCCGGTGGAGAAGTAGATCGATTATGTTAATGTGCCCGTTTTGTGCTGCATCATGTAACGACTGGATCCAGCCCATGGACTTTATATCTGCTCCTCGCTGTATCAACAATTCACATATTGCCAGCTGGCCATTCCCCGCTGCTGCTCGGAATGGTTCTTCATAGCCGATGTTGACGAATGCGCCTTTGGAAATCAAGAACTCACATATTTCCAGATGACCCTTCCGCGCTGCTTCTCGGAGTGGTCGTCCGTCGTCGACATTGACGGACGCACCGTTAGAAATTAACAGCTTACATACTGCCAGATGTCCCTCCTTCGCTGCTTCTCGGAGTGGTGCTCCATGACTGATGTCGACGTCCGCACCGTTGGATATCAGCAAATCGCATATTTCCTTACGCCCCATCTCAGCGGCGATGTCAAGTGGCCGTCTCCACGGGTACCCTGTTTTTTCACCAGAGTCTATCTCCTTCTTCCCCGTACCAGAGTTCAGAAGCTGCCTAACTCTCTCAATATTGCCTCTTCTACACGCTTCGTGGAGGCTACTCTCCATATCGCTGGACATGGAGTCTTCAGCACTGCTAGATGACAATTTTAGCTTGGGAAAGATGGGAAAGCTGTTGGTGTCGTCTTTCTGAGTATGCCACTTCGTGTTATGCCTCTGAAGTTCGTCTTCCGTACTGAATCCCAGTTTAAATCCCATGCAGTCATGATATGCACATCGATGTGGAAATTCGTGCTCGTCAATGTGCTTTCGTCGGTTTGCCTCGCTCGCGAGTCCCCCCTTGAACAATTCACACCAGGGTTTTGAGCATTTGTATAACGTTCTGGACCCGTGGAGATTGCCAAAGACTCTCTGCTCTTCCACAGTAAAGGTTTCAAAGTCTAGTTTGGCGATCTTTTGTCGAAGCGACTCTGTTCGTATCTCGATGCAGAGGAAAGAGTTGCGTTCTCGGCCATGAGCTGGAAGGTACTGGGTCATTGCATCAGTGAACTCCGTGTAAGTCTCTGCTTGAAGGAGCTCTGCCATCTTTTCGCGGTTTCCATAAGACTTGAGGAAGATCCGGGCGAGGTTGAAAACCTCCTGGCACTTGTCACGGTCCGAAATTGGGTCAAAGGAGTTGATACATTCGAGAACATGGTCGAACCAGTACTGGACTGTGTAGTCTTGTAAGGCGTAGTATCCCTTTTTGGCATGCGACAACACATCTTCGTCTGAAACTCCGAGAGTGAACGGCGGCGATGTGAGGTATTGAAAACAGAACATCGAGAGCCTGGAATTCAGGCCATGGATGTTCACTCTGTTCTTCCGTATGAGAAATCTGTTTGACGTCATAAGTTAGTCAAAGTAGACACCAAAAGGATTAAGAGGTGAGAACTTACTCGCGCGCTGTTTCGTGTACTAGTACCACCTCGTCCTCGGGCCCAGTGTAGTTCTTATTCAAAGAATTTGAATCCAGGAAAGAGCTACAGAGCTCCTTGTAGCTCTTAATCATCAGTTTTTTATGGACTACTTCCCCCTTCGACGCATCGATACAGAAGAAGGCCTGTATCTCCCTCCAGAAGAGCGTACGCTGGCAGCTTATAACGTAGCTCAAGATTTCGCTCGCAGCGGCGCTTCTCGGTCGGGCAGACTTCTCAAACACACGTTCATCGACCTTTTTGTAACTGTCACGGATTGTAGGTTAGGTAGGTATCTTAGATTTGTTCGGTACCCAGGTAGTCACAAGATCTACCCTTCCACATCAAAGAAGTGCAGTGTGGACATACGCTTCCTCTAGGCTGTCAGGAAAGACCCCTGGCTTCAGTTGCTCTTCCAAGTCATGGACCGACGTTTGGTCGAGTAGATGTTCGAGGACTATCTTTGCATAAAGAAACATGCCTAGGTAGTATGAGATGAAAATCAGTCAGTCGACTATTAAGCAGTTAAACGGAAGATCGGATGTGATATACCTTTGGCTCCTCTGGAAACAAGTTCTATGATTGTATTTTCCAAGGACGGTTCCGCATCGAAATCTCTGCATATTTTCTTAGAACCCTTTTGACAATAAGCCGTGATGTCGCGGTGATGCTCGGTTGATGTGTCAAGAGATATTGATGGTTGGGAAGACAACAGTCTATCCGTGACATTGTCTCTTTGGCCGGCGACAATGACTCTCAGTCCAAGGACGAACTGGCTCAGGCCCAAGAGCCATTCGATGATGTCTTCTTCTTCCTCACTTTGGCACTCATCCAGCCCATCAAGAACCAAGTAAAGCGTTGCCTGAGTTCCTGCAGCTTTGCAAACGAGATCCTTCCATTCCTTTGTGGAGCTGAGTCGGAGTTGGTCGTTTCTTGACATGTTGGTAATCGAATCGGTCAGGTCAGGGTCTTGATCGATGAGCTGGTACAGAAGTGCGCGCAGGAGATTGTCTAAGTTGCCCCTGGACGTGTTCTTGTCTTCTTGTAACTGACGGAAGTAAAAAAATGCGACAGCAGCGCCGGCCGTCTTGTTACCCAATAGTCGTTCAATAACGGTGGACATCAAGGTGCTTTTTCCTGTGATGTCCAGTCTGTCAGTTGTTTGCCCTGCTTGTGACTTGGGGACAGAATACCTTCAGGGAAGGAAAGTCTTACCACCACCTGGTTTCCCATGAACATAGAGTATCCTGCTCCCAGAAAGATTGCTGTTGTGCCACACTCGATATCTGGGGTCTGCGAAGATCCACTGCCCTGAATCGGCGGCCTTTTTTCGCAAAAGTTGCTCGTGATGCTGCAGGTAGTTTGGAGGGTCCAACCTTTTCTTGATCAGCTCTTTTAGCTGCTCATGCTTCATTTCCTCCACCAGCCTCTTCATATCGGCTTGTTCTCTGCCATTTTCTTTGATCTCCTCCAGTGCCTGGTGGATCTCATAGAGGGTCGCCGATGCCTTTTCACTGTCCAGAAGCGCTCTGCGGCTATCTAGACTTTGGAGAATAGGTCCGAACTTTGAATCGAACCTTTTCCAGGCAGCGTCAAAGAGCATCTTCCAGTCTGTAAAAGCGTCAGAGCTGTGTCAGCTTCATGAAAGGATAAGGGCTCTGCAGTAGCATACTCGGTCGTGTGAAAACTTCAATTGCTCGTTCGTGGAAGTTGAGGATGTCCGAGTAATAGTCCTCGAGCACTTTGGCCAAAGGTGGATGGCTTTGAAAGGCTTCTTTATATCGTTCCAGGCCGGAAATGCTGGAAGCAATCTTTCCATACGCCTCGAGGAGTTTGTTGAGGGAATCGAGGTGCGTCTTTGCAAGCTGTGGAGGGCGAGGAATACGGTCAACATGAGAACGATGGTACGCAAAGTCAGCAATGTGGAAGGTATACTCACCATAAGAAGGAATTTGATGGGGCCCTTAGATCGTGCAGAGAGTCAGTGGAACGAAGGCATATAGAGGACTGGTACTCGTATATAACGGATATCACGTCACCATACCCAGATGAAGCATATCAATTCGCTTGCGTTTGTGAAAACCTCAATAACCGCACCAAGCTGGGTCATTGCTTCAATAAAGGGCTCGAGCCGCTGCAGGTGGCGGAGCTTTCCTTGCGGTCCCTGCTCAAGCTGAATTTTGTCTGCCAAATCCCGGACATCTTCCAGTGTACTGATGGGAAAATCATGGGCAATTCTTGGATCGAGACCCTTCTTGAATTTGGCCAGGGCGCGCGTAAACCCGTCTGGGTGTTGCGACTGTGGCATGGCGGAATGTGGATGGCGGCACAGCAGCGAAAGCGAAGACAACGTCAGTCGAACTCTTGTAGTACGGAAAGCGTGCCGAAGATGGGAAAAATAACATCACGATCCGAGAATTGAGCGATGACAGGAGTGAGGCGCATTCGGAAGGTTGACAGGTGCGTCCCATACCTAGAGGTGGAAGGTAGGCAGATAGAGACAACTTGCACACGACGCGTGTGGTTGCCCGGGTACAGATTGCCGAAGGTTCCAGTTGTCATGACATGGATGTCATCAGGTAGGCAGGTAAGGCTCCCACCCCGAGACTGGAGTGTACCTTCCCGCTGACTGCCATGTACGCAATTTGAAGGTAGACGGAGGTTGCGACCCATTCAGACAAGGGACATTTCACGCTAACATCCAAGCCACCATCACCCCTTTCCCTCGCATGCCCAATGATTGGACATTTGAGCTCGCCCAAGCATGGCAGTGCTTACAATCCAACCCTAGTATCTTTGTTAGTTTGGTACAAAAAACGCCCATTTGTCCTCTGGAGCCACCGAAGGTAGGAAAAGCATTCGATCCGTCTTATATTTTCCAATCTTGGAGGTCCCGAAAGAGACGGAGGAAGGCATAAAAAGATGCTTTGGTGACGTATTACCCCCTGGTCATTGTCAGTCACTTCAAACGAAAACTCCAAGGGAGCCAATAAGAGCTCTAAATCTCCCCTGTTCAACCTCTGGCCGAAGAACCAAACTAACATACAAACCAGGTTTGTAGAGGTACCTATTGTACACGTACACCTGAGAACCATCACTTTGAGCGATTGAGCCGGGTGCAAAGCAGGCCGCCATTTGGATCACGGGCAATCTCTCATATGTCTCCAATCAACGTGAATCAAAACATACGGCTTCGCCACGGTCTGAAGTCTCGAATATAGTCCCCATGTCTCCCATCTCGTGGCAGTCCGATACCGCTCAGCAAACCTACCTTTACCTCTACGTGCAAGCCTTCACGATACATTCATCGCTAGGTAGGTGTCGAAGACAATGTTTTGACACGCAGCAATGGCAACCCATCATCCTACAACCAAACGACGTTTGTCAAACACGTTCGAAGAAAGCGCTGCCAGCAATAGTCGCATGCAGATTTGCTATGGAGCCGTAAGTCTTCCATGAGCACCTTACCTATTCACAGCATTGCAACCTCAGAATTTCCAAGAGTTCGAGGATTTTTGGTGACTTACTAGATACTCACATGACCATCACCAGTTATTCGACGGAAAAGCCAAGTGTCTTGACGGGTCTGAAGCACTTAAAAGCCAAGTCCAACACACCATCAACCATGTATCGTTCGTCTCTTTTCCCGTGACAAGGTTCGGGCGCTTCTTCTGTTTATCGTCCGAAGACGGGACAGCAGTTGCTGTTGTTGACCAACGTACACAAAACTGGCTCGCGGCACTGGATCACATACCCAATGTCAGATTCGATGCACTTTTTGTCGCAGGATCCCTGATAAAACGGAGAAAGGGAATCAAGAAAGATGCAGTGCTGGACGGGATGTCAGTCAATGTTTTTGGTCCCCAAGACAAAGCTGTCGAGGATGATGCTGCCGACAAATTGGGGAACGTCTCCGCCTTCCTTCAACATCCGAGAGAACTCAGCCGGGAAGTTGTCTACTCCAATCCCCAGTGGTTGGCGCTTCCTGGCCGTGACCGAAATATGAACCATCTTATTGGAACCTATATCAACGACGATCCTTTGTGGGCTGTCAGAGCAAGAATTGCTAATGAAGTTAACGATATCCTGGATTCATTGGACGAGGTGCCTCTTGATCCGGCACTCCCGTTCGACCCTCCTTCAGGTTTAAAATCCACGCTGAAGAGGTACGCTTCCGCTCTCGCGTCTCTATGAACTCTGGCCATGTACGAATACATCACTACGGTGCTTGCTAACTGAAAATCCAGGCACCAGGTACAGGCCGTCATCTTCATCCTCAAACGAGAACCTGGAAATCGATTTTCTCAAGCTTCAAATGCTAGTGTCAATACCTCCATCCGCTCAGGGTATGTCATCATCTTAAACGCATTCAGGCACCAAACGGAGGCAGTGTACAACACAGTGCTGACAGATATCTAACTACCTCACCTTCACCTATGAAGTCACTCAAGAATTTCTCAAAAAAACCACGGTGGGCTCATTGCCGACGTGATGGGCATGGGCAAGTCACTTATAATACTCACAACGATCCTGTGCACTATAGGGGATGCTCGCAACTTTCCCCATTTCCCTTTCCAGTCGCAAAACGTCGCTGAAGCAGACCGAAAAACACCAACACAAGCTACTCTGATTGTTGTACCCTCAGCACGTAAGTGTCCGTTGAACTCCCGTATTCGAACTTGTACTGAGCGCTCAAAGAGCTCATGCACAACTGGGCAGCAGAGATAGCGAGGTATGTCCACCGCACAGCACTTGATATCTGGAGTTACTGGCTCCTTGGTGAGCTGATACAAGCTATGTACCTCTAGTCACATGCCTGGAGCCCTCAATCTCATCCTGTTTCATGGTCAAGGTCGACATAAAAACCCCGAGTCGCTGGCGTCAACTGATGTAGTTCTTACTACGTACAGAACGCTTGCTGCTGATCATAGAAAGGCTCGCTTGCTTCAGAAAATGGACTGGTATAGAGTTGTTCTGGACGAAGGTTAGAACTGAACTTTCCATGGCAGTGCATGTGGTCGTTATAGCAAATCCCTTGCTGATCAGGCAATAACAGCACACTGGATTCGGAATCCATCCTCTCAGCAATTCCGAGCGGCGACCAGTCTGAGCACGAATCGCCGATGGTGCCTAACGGGTACTCCCATACAGAACAAGCTCGATGATCTGGCGTCTCTCGCCCACTTTCTTCGAGTCCCGCCGTATCCTGACAAAACCATGTTTCGGAGATATGTGCTTGTACCCCTTGAGAAGGGAGATCAAAAATGTACTAATCCCTTACGGTTTTATCTTCGCCAACATTGTCTTCGCCGCACCAACAAGTGTCTTAACCTCCCCAACTTATCCGAGAAAATCCTCTATCTGCAACTCTCAATAGAGGAGCAGGAGGCATATGACAAGATTCTGAGCACCGCGAAACATGCACTGGATAACATTGTCAGTAGCGCCGACAAGACCAAGCAGGTCAAAAAGGAGAAAGTCATCGTAGTCTTCAGAACTCTTACAAGCTTACGTAGGCTGTACGACCTCGGAACGTTACCACCTATACAATCTTTGCCGGGCGACCCATGGCAGCCAACCGAGGATGCCGACATGCTGTGTAAACTTTGTTCATCGCAAGATGCGGATGAATCTCTGTTGTTAAAGGATCATCAATTTTGTCCCGAGTGCTCGCGACCACTTCGCTCCCAGATATCAGCAAGCAACACTGGCTATCTCACGCCAGCCAGTTTGCCAGGGACTGTTAGCGATCGTGCAATGAGCCCCCTCATTCTGTCCATGGACAATGGCCACTCCACAAAGCTCTTGAAGATCAGAGACAACGTGCTCCAGGCCCTTCAAGCTCAACCTGGCATTAAGCAGTAAGTGTTTTTTTTGCAGGCAACGCCTCGACTCCCGTCAACTAACACTCTGCCAATCTACTTTTTTCCGCTTAGACATCAACCCTCCACTATCTCGCCCAGCTCATACAGCAAGCTGGAATTCCTCACGCACAGATCGACGGACGAACCAATAACGCAGAGCGTCTGAGACATATCAAGGCTTTTCAGGAAGACTCTCAGGTCCCTGTCCTCCTCATATCAATTGGCACAGGGGCTATCGGGTAAGCAACTACTCACCTCACCATTCCACGTATCTCCTCACCTTCCCTCACCTTTCCTCACCTTTCCTCACCTTCCTCACCGAGTAAATCCTCCTTCCTTACATCCTCTCTTCCCCACGCCCTCATCTCCTTCGGCCACAATACTTATACCTCCCCAATCCAAAAAGCCTCACCCTCACGGCAGCAAGCCACGTCCACATCATCGAACCGCAGTGGAACCCCTCGGTCGAGGAACAAGCCATCGGCCGAGCGCGACGCATAGGTCAAACGAAAGAGGTTGTAGTGACGAGGTACATCATGACGGGGACTGTTGAGCGGGTGAGTCCATTACATTTTGCCCTAGGATTAAATAGAATTTTCCCCTATTCCACCATAGAAAAACAAAAGAAAAAAAAAAAAAGAAAAAAGTCGGAGCAACGACAGAAAGCAGAAAAAAGAAGAAAACCGGAAGCAAAAAAAAAAAAAAAGGCATCATGAGCTAACACGATTAAACAAAAGAGCATACTCTCCCTTCAACAAAGGAAGAAGAACATTGCCCGCTTCACCTTTGGTACGGCCAGCAGTGATGCGGTGAACGAGAGACTGGATGTAAGTGATCTTGACCTGACCCCCCACATATCACTCGCCAGAAAAAAATGAGAAAACAGACAGATTGCTAACATGATATTGTTGCAAATGTGTTCAGGACTTCAAGTTCATTTTGGATGCCAACCTTTCGTGAAGAAGTTGCGTGCGCTGGGGAAGATGGCTGCTGGGAAATTGCGGGGATCTTTGGGAACGTTGGATGCGGGTCAAACATACAAGAATTTGATGAATTAGGAAAGTTCGATATAGGAAACAGAAGTTGCGCATTGCAAAGTGAGCACTGTAATTCTAAGGATACCTCAAAAAAGATGGAGGAAAAAAGAGACAAAAGCGAAGAAGGACAGAAAAAAAAGGAAAGAAAGACGAAACTCAGCTGGCCCGTGCAGTGCGACTCCGCTGTACAAGTTTGTTAGCGCGGTGCTTGTGACAGGGGTCTACAAAGCCTCATAGAAAGATGACGGGATAACTATATTAAAAACAGGAAATCAGATAAAATATACAAACTCTCCAAGACGGATCTGATTGATACCAACTTCTTGCATGAAATGTGGTTGAATGGTGGTCGAGTTGCGAAGAGTGCGTACCTCAGTCAAGTCCCGTGCTAACGAACCTTCCAGGGGTGATGTGTAGAGGTACCTAGAGGTAGGCAACTCCACGTCCGGTCTCCTTCTCAACTTCTTTCCTTCATCAGTTACAGATTCAAACAACACAAGGACCACGCAGACAACAATGAAAACTTGCACAACTTCCCAACCAGGCCAGTCAGAACGGGAGCCTCGTCTCTACCGCTCGTACGAAGAGCTTGAACGCTTGGCGGGAGGTGCCCGCCTCTCTCGAGAAATCGATCGACTGTTTTGGGAGTTCAAAGGCGCCTTTTCCTCGACAATTTCCGTCATGGCCAACCGCCGCGGTGCCAAAGGACACCTGGAACCCTTCTTCTTCTTCCAGGAACCGGCAGATCGACGACCAGAATGACCCCGAAAATTGTAACGACCCCGAAAACACCAGCACCGGCACATACCACCCCATCGCCCTCCTCCCCATGACCGAACCACCGGCGTCCTCCATCTCGGTATCCTGCGCGGACCTCGACACATGGGAATCCAACTGGGTAGAGTGGCACGAATGGCACAGCGAGGAAAAGGGCGAGTTTGTGACCTACGCCGATCTGGACGACGACGTCCGGCCGTGGGCAAAGGAACCTCAGAATGAGGAGGAGGATCATGAAAACTGGGAGGAGGATTCCGACAAGGAGTTTCTGATTAAGTGCTGCGGGGAGGATAGGCCGCTGCGCACGGCGGCGGCGGGAAGGAGCAGGTTGAAGGTCACGCCAAGGGGTCAAGGTGGAGAGGAGGGGGGGTTTGTTACGGTTGGGGATTATGTTTGTGGTGAGTTTTTGAAGAAAGAGGGACTGGACTGTGTGGAAATCATGGCTCGCTTCCATCGCAATGATCTGCCAACAGATAGCGGTTGGGCAATTTGTAAAGGATGCCTGCAATGAGGAACAACTCCCAACCCTGCACATTGTCTGGTCATTCAATTACCTCACTCCCTCTTATTTCCTGCATCTTTGCTAACGATGCGTCACACACCTCAGCTGTTCATGGTTGGCTTATGAGCATGCGCGATGAGATTTTAGAAGCTAGGGGCGTCAGACAGTATGATCAATGCGACGCATCGGCATTCGAATGGATGGTGACTTTTTACGACGGGGAGCCGAAACATAGGTTGGAAGAGAAGAGGGAATGGGTTCGCAGCCATTGCCCACCTAGTCAAGCTAGCATTGACGCGGCTAACGCGACGATGCGTTCATTGGGGGGTAGAGGTAATGTGGTGGACGTGTCTGTCATTCATATTGACTCTGGAGGCGAGGGACAGGAGGAGAGAACGGAGGGAGAGGAGGAACAGGAAACTGAGGGAGAGGGAAAGGGGAAGAAACGCGAAGTACAAGAGGAAGTGGAGGATGAGGAGAAGGGAAAAGAAAAAAGGAGAAAGGTGTCGACCGAGGAGGAAAAGCGCAATGAGGAGTGAGTAGCAGGCCTCTCTTCTTACAGTTAGGTAATTAATCATCTTTGCCATCAATAGGTATCTTCGTTCCATCTTTTCACTTCAACAAGCATGGGTTATGGGTGAACGAGTCCCTCTTCTCTGGATGACGACCTTCCCTGGGTACCTCTAGGTACCTACTTTACAGCATCTACTTCTCTCGTCCTTCACGTCGTCGTCGTTCAAGACGCTCTTCAAACGCCTTGAAATCCTCCTCGGTATATCCTTGGTCCGCTACAAGATAAGTTAGGACCAGTCTCACTGTCATAGAAGGGAGTGTAGGTAGGTATAAGTACTCACTGTACGGCTCAAACTTGGCAAGCTCATCCCATCGCTCATTCTCCAGGTGGTCCCAGGCCGTTTTCACGGTGCCCTGTGGGAGGTAAATTTCCTTATAGACGCCCTTATCATCGGTGTATGACATGAAGTTGGCATCGGCAGTTTTGAGGTGTTCACCTGACCGCGGGAGGCATACATGGTATTTGACGCCGTTTTCATCGGTGTAGAAGACGTTGTTGGGATCGGTAATTTTGGTGAGGGGGACCAAGGGCTGCTCGGGCTCGGGCTCTGGCTCGGCCTTTGCTTCATCCTTTTTTGGGTCCATGATGGGCTGCTTCTGTGAAAGCTCAGTTGTAGGTTGACAGGCAGTTGGAAATCGAGAGGATGGAATCAGTTCATACCAGCGTAGAGGTAGATAGAGGTATGGACAGGGCGAGGAGGTGGGCTGACCTCGACTTATACATGCCAGGCGGGGTCAGTTGCGCATGCCAAGTCCTTTTCCTCGTATTACTTTTGGTTGAGTGATCCCGACTCTCTTATACTGGGGTAGTCATTCCATGTCGGCCCCCAACCCAGCGGACTCGGGTGTAACCGCAATGGCCTGGCCCGAACCTTATAGGGTTAGTCACCGAGTCGTTGGCGCTAGAGGATCATGGTAAGGTACCATCACAGAAATACGCCCTAAGCGACCTAGTTGGAGGTAGAGTAGCGACTGGCACTGGAAAGAGCCATTTGATGGAGCATGAAAATCCTCGTGCGTTGAGTCTTTCCCGTAAGTGGTCGACTGGAGCTCTATTACGACCACTCGTCTCCTCCTCCGTTCCTATTAACTCATCTCATGCCCATAACCCCCTCCTCCTTCCCTCCCATATCTCCGGATCCCAGGAGGCTGATCCTCCCACCCACTACTCATCTCCACCGGCTCAATCTTCACCGGCATCTCTACCACCTTCTCAACCGACAACACCTCATGCGACCCGTCGCTATGTAGTCCCTGCTGTTCGTGTGCGTAACCGCCCCTTTCGAATCCGCTTTCCATCTCTCTCGGTCCCCAACCACCACCACCGCCTTCCGCGTCTCTCACATGTTGCGCCATTTCAGGAGGCCGCTGGTACGGTTGGCCACCGGTGTCTGGACTATGGCTTAGAGGTAGGTTGGCCCTTAGAGGTAAGTTTGTGGTCATGCTGGGGGTATCGTCGTCTTCCGAAGCAGAAGAAAACGAAGAAGATCGATCGCTACCGTCGCCGTTACTGCCCCCGTTTAGGGGTTCGGAGGCATTGTGCGCAGCTTGTTTCCGTCGTCGGTCTCGGACTCGGTAGGCCCAGACGAGGTAGGCGGCGAAGCCGAAGGCGCAGATGATGGCTAGACCACCAATCACGCCGCCTACTATGGCGCCGATATTGGCCGAGTTGTTGTTGCCTCCACCGTTGCCGCTCGACTGAGATGGGGTGGGGGGAGTTGATGACGAGGAACCTGACGAAGAGGAGGATGTAGTGGTGGCCACGGCAGGATTGCGAATGGCATCGGCCTGCGAAGCCGTGTAATGACTTATGCCGGTGGTCCAGCCGCAATCAATCCTCTGGAAGGGACCGAGCCCGTTGTCGAGCGTGAGATAGGCGTTTACGCAGATGGAGGCTCGAATGGTGTTCCCGGAGGAGTCTTGACTTGAACTGTCAAACGGTCAGTTGACTTTCCTGTTCTTCACGGTCACTCTTTCATTTTTTCTTCTTGCCTCCTTTCTTCATGTTCGCGCAAGTACAATTTCTCATACATCCAAGTTCACAGAGAAAAAGAGAGAAAAGAAAAGAAGACCTACCACAGCGCGGTGCTCAAATCCTTCCTATCCAAAAACCCACACCCATCCTCACACTTGTCTTGATCGAAACAAGCCCCCGGCATCCAACAATTGCCTACAACTTGCTTATTTGCCAGGCAGAAATTCCATAGTCCGCGGTTGAAGTCGACCTGGATCTGCAAACGGGTACCGGCCGTCCGTATACTTGTGTTTTCCTGGTTGTGAATCTGCGAGTAGCGAGATGCGATGGACTTTGATATCGACGCTGGTGGAGTGATGAGGGAGTCTGGTTCCATGAGGGTCGGTGATGCCCTTTTTTGGTTGAGGAGTGTCGTCGGGGTTGGCGCAGGCGGCGCTCGCGATGAAGACATGTCGGATTTGATCGTTCAATTGGAGTCCTGGCTGCTTATCGAGGTCTAAAGAGCGACTGGACTGGAGCTGGGTGCGAAAAGACTGAAGATGAACTCCACCGCGATAATCCGTGCCTCTTGGTGCTTCAATCCAAGATAGACGAGAGGCAGATGCGATGAAAGGAGACAGGTGCGAGGAACCGGGTAGAAGGCTTCGTTCCGTGCCGCTTCCGATATTACATTACAGCGATAGGTCACCTCCCGAGGAGCGACGCAACTTCAGCTTTGGCGGCTGACCAGCGTAACTCAACTGCCAATAACAAGCACCCGCGTAGGACAAACCAGGACTGAAGGTTACACATGCTAGGGCTGAGAGGTCTCAGCATTGAGGCGTTCCCAGTCGAAGGAACTGAATCGAGTTGAAGACTGGACGAACGGCCGCGCTGGTGATGCGCTCGAGCGGCACCGAAGTGCCATGGTTGGGTTGGGGATTGAGAAAGATGGGAAAAGCAAGGTGCAAGGCTGAGGGCGGCATGGTTGCACAAAGACACTGCCATGTTTGCTGATGATGCTATTTACGTTGTCAGTGGCAACTCAAGACAGGCAGTCAGAAGGTATATAAGAGACTGGGGAAACCACAGGCCCCGAACCGAGTGATGATCGCTGCCATCTAAAAGTCAAGAAATGGTCAGCGGTTGATGAAGAAGAGAAACTCCAACTTTGACCAAGAAAAACCAAGCCGGATACGGTATCCCGAACACTCGGGTCCTCGTGCCAATGCGTCCCGAAACGCGGGGAAAGCCGCCAGGAACCGCTGTCCAAAACTGTGACCCCCACCAAGGAAGACGTCGAGCCGAGCATCTGTAGCATCGTGGGGGAAAAATGATGATGATCTACCGATCATTGGAAGCCGCAGAGTTCATTCCCCAGGAGTCCTCGAATCCGGAATGGCTTTAACGATGGTCCCCGATGGTGATGTTCCCCTCATGCACCCGAGGCACGTTTCCCCCGCATTCTGACCACGCTGCCCAGACGCGGGGTGCAGAAGTCAGCCGTTACCTTGATATCCCCCCATCTTCTCCACGAGAGAAATGATGTCGTTGAAGCCGGAAGACGCTTCCCCTGCGAACGTACCGTGAGTACAAAACTCACCTTTACTCCCGTCCCTCATCAACCGTCTCCAAGTCCCTCGCGACTCCTCTCATCCCTTGTCAGGCTACCCACCACCATCACCACAACCATGTCCGCCCGAAAATCCATCCTCATTACCGGCGCCGGCGGTCTCGTCGGCCCCCTCCTCGCCACCCGCCTCCTCTGCGACTCTAACTACTCCCAACACACCATCTACCTAACCGATCTCGCGCCCCCCATCGTCCCCTCCGCCTCTTCCTCCATCCCCGCCGACCGGCTCAAAGACGTCATCCCCATCCAAGGCGACATCACCTCCCCCTCTTTCGTCTCCTCCCTCATTTCCGCCACCCTCCAAGACGGCGCAAACTTATCCGCAGTCTTCATCTTCCACGGCATCATGTCCGCCGGCTCCGAAGCGAACTTTGAGTTATCTCTCAAAGTCAACGTTGACTCCGTGCGCTTACTGCTCGACGAAATCCGCACCCAAGCCCCCGGCACACGAGTGATATACAGCAGTTCGCAAGCAATCTACGGCCAACCCTTACCCGCCGTCGTAACAGACGACGTCACGCCCACCCCGCAAAGCACATACGGCGCCCACAAGCTGATGATGGAGACGTACATCAACGATTTGCATCGCAAGGGATATATCGAGGGTTTTGTAGTGCGCTTCCCTACTATTTCGGTGCGACCGGGTAAACCGACGGCGGCTGCGTCGAGTTTCTTGTCGGGAATCATTAGGGAGCCGTTGGCGGGAAAAGAGTGCGTGGTGCCTATTGAGGATCGTGGCTTTAGGTCGTACTTGTCGAGTCCGTCGACGATCGCGGAGAATCTGGTTAGAGTGTTGGAGATGGATAGTGATAAACTGCCGGAGCATAGGAGGAGTGTCAATTTCCCGGGCATTAGTGTCAGTGTGCAGGAACTGTTGGATGCGTTGGAGAAGTTTGGGGGGAAGGAGAAACTGGGGCTGGTAAAGGAAAAGAGGGATAAAGGGTTGGAAAAGGTGTTGAGGAGCTGGCCGACGGATTTTGATACGAGTAGGGCTGTGGGCGAGCTGGGGTTGGTGGTTGATGAGGGGGTGGACGGGTTGGTTGGGGAGTATGTGGAGAGTTTGAAGCGGAAGGAGTGAAAGGAGACTTGAAGATGGGTTCTTTGGTGTTGTGTTCGACGATAGGCTGTGCGCAGAAATGGGAGGTCAAATATCTGCCGTGCTCCTCGCGTTCATGATATGTGTGACTTGTAAGAGAGATACCGAGCCGATGTGACAGATATATCAGTCTTCATGTACACAGCGTGGTTAATGGTAGATAGGGTCGTACATCCTTTTGAGCCTCAATGCTGTGTTCCTTGGTTGTTCAGTTTTTAACCACGACATTCCAACCACACAAGTACCGATTGCAAGAGCCGGAGGTTGCCGTCTCTGCAGGCTATATCGGTCCTAACCCCCTGGGGAATTGTTTGCCGATATCCGAGCCACGTTGGTAAGCTGGTCTGTAGGAGTTTGCGACTGCGTCTATAATAGAGACTTTTAAGGCGAACCAAGATTCGTTGTGATGAATGCGACAAATAGCCGCGATATGAGCTCATTTATAGGTCCCGACGAGCTTGTTTGTAGCGTAACCCTTGCAGTTGGTTGTGCCTTTCAGACGATGAAGTCAATGGGAACACTCCGATTGGGTGTCATCTGGATATGGCTGGGAGTATGGAAAGAACGAAGATAAAGCGCAACCGGCCCCCCGTCGCCTCATTTGACTGAGACTGAGATTTGATGCGATCACTAGCTCCTTACCTTTGCCTGCATTTTGTCAGTGGCACCAAAAACCATGGCAATTGGATTCCCCGATGATCGTCAGTTGAAGGACCGGCCCGAGCCGCGGGACAAAGTCAACAGCCCTGAGACCTCCAGCGACCATGACACTCACCATGATATGAACAGCAAGACCCGTGTGGCTTCAGACTCACCGAGAAGTTCGCTCTCCATGACCCTGTCTTTCCTCACCACCATCCGCACTCTCTTCACCACCTTGCCCTCTCTCCCCCTCAGCAGTCCCATTTGGACCTTTCTTGAACACCTCTACCACCTTCCCAACCCCCCTCCGCCGCGAGTCCGGGACCCATCCCGCCCCATGCGCATCATCTGCGTCGGTTTCCCCCGCACCGGCACCGAGTCGCTCGCCCAAGCCCTCTCCCACCTCGGATATTCGCACGTTTACCACGGCTGGGACATTGTTTACGACCCTTCCGATCTCTGTTACTCTCCCGGTTGGGTAAGACTGGCCAGGAAGAAGTTCTACCCTGTTCAAGGTGACCACTCCCAGTCCCAGCCGGTGATAACGAGAGCGGAATTTGAGGAGTTGCTAGGCCATTGTCAGGCCGTGACCGATGCGCCAGCGTCCGTGTTTGCTGCAGAGTTGATAGCTGCCTACCCCGAAGCCAAGGTGGTGTTGAATATGCGAAGGGATGAAGAGCAGTGGCAGGAGTCATTGGTGAAAACAATCATCAAGGCGAACGAGAGTTGGGGGTTTTGGATTGCGAGTTGGTTGGATCGAGAGTGTTTCTGGGCGTGGCATGTGTATGAACGGTTTCTGTGGCCGTCACTGTTTAGATGTGTTGGTGGTTATGGGGAGTTGAGCAGAGTGGTGAGAGGGGGTGGAGGAATGTGGGTTTGGAGAGGTGAGTTGTGTTTTCTTGGACTTCGACTTGCAGTGCTACTCAACAATGTTAACTCGAAACAGAGCATTGCAACATGATCCGAGGACTGGTTCCGCCCGACAGACTGTTGGAGTGGTATATCGAAGACGGCTGGGAACCGCTCTGCAAGTTTCTTGGCAAAGAAATACCAGACATGTCCTTTCCTCATGCCAATGCGGCTGTTGGTGGTTGGAAAGCGAGAGAAGAGCAATGTAACAAGCGGTGGGTGGAGAGGGCCTTTATCAACTTGTTCCTCATTCTCGTGGGCATCGTCTCCCTGGGTGTGTTTGCCTGGTGGTGGTGGTGGTAGGGATGGCGAGGGTGGATTTTATCCTGACTGTCGATGACATGACATGTGACAGGCAGCTGATCGGATCGCGGATGTCGGTTATTTGAGGTTAATATGATTATCGTATCCGATGGATGGATTGTTTCCTCGAAGCGCGCGCGTCGAAACAGGTGACATTGTCCAGGACCAAAGGGGATGTGAAACAAATCAGAAGGAAATTGACGGGATTTTGCGCGAAGGAGGAACGAAGAAACAAACAGAAAAAAAAAAACAGAAAAAAAGCTCTGACCAACAGCTCGGTTGGCGTTTAACGAGTGTTTCACTGAGTGACCTTATGGTGGGGCTTGGGGGCTTCTTCAGGGCTTCTTTCAGCGGGTCGGGAAGGGCAGCCGCCGCCTCCACCGACTTGGCCTCCGCTATTTTCCTCATTCAGCACTCGACTGCAACATCTCCTTCCGGCCTTCCTCCGCGACAATGCAACCTCATCGACCTTTGTCCCTGAATAGCGTCACATCGAGCTCCGAACGGGCCGCCATTGCGATGTCTTTTCTTGCTTGACCACAGCTTGAACCTGACCAGGGAGCGTAACAAGCATTGCGCCTTCAATCTCGGCACCATCAGTCATGGCCTGCTCTCCCAACCAGCAGCACCACCTCGGCTCGTCCAGCCCAGGGACCCGGGAATGGCAACCCCGGAAGATGGAATAGATTGAGCCTCCTTCAATGATGGATCGAAAAAGGGGGTCAGGCGATACCACTTTGTGACGCAAGTCAATTGGTATAAGATCGATTGGCTTCCCGCCATGTCTTTCTTGGAGTGTCTTGTCTTCCACCACCACAACCTCCACCACCGAGCCATCCTCACCACCACCATCAACCCCGCCACCACTACCACACCATGAAGTTCACGCTTCTCTCTGGCCTCGTGGCCAAAGCCCTGTCCGTATCCGCCGGCTCCATTCTCTGGGATGGCCGCTTCAACGATCTCACCTCCGCCACCGACCTCAGCAAGTGGTCTTGGAGTAGCCAGGTCGGCCCCTACCAGTACTACATCCACGGTCCGTCCGAGGTCACCTCCTACGTCAACCTCTCGCCCAGCTTCAAGAACCCGGCCGACTCGGGCTCCAGCCAGGGTGCCAAGATCACCCTCGACAAGACGGCCTTCTGGAACGGCCAGACCATGCGCCGCACCGAGCTGATCCCCCAGACCACGGCCGCCATCAACAAGGGCAAGGTCTTCTACCACTTCTCGCTCATGCGCAAGGACACCAACGCCCCTGCCCTCACCCGCGAGCACCAGATCGCCTTCTTCGAGAGCCACTTCACCGAGCTCAAGTCCGGCTGGCAGTCGGGCGCCTCTGGCACTTCTGATCCCCTGCTGAGGTGGTGCATCGGTGGCCAGACCAAGTGGAGCGTCAACTGGGACGCCGACGTGTGGCACAACGTTGCCTACGAGATCGACTTTGATGCCAACACTGTCGGTTTCTGGCACTCTACCGGCAGCGATGCCCTTACCCAGGTTATTGCTCCTCAGGCTGCCGGCACCAGCAGCAACGGTGCTGACTGGCACGTCGGTGTTCTCGAGCTTCCCCGTGACGGCTACGCGGATGCTACTGAGGATTTCTACTTTTCGGGTGTTTACATTGAGAGCGGCAGCATCACCACTTCCGTTGCTGGTCCTGGTACGTCAACTCCTTCCCTCCTCTCCTAGGTTAGCACCTCTCATACTAACACTTGCGTCTCAGGCTCTTCCTCCTCCAACCCCGGCACACCCAGCGCCCCCAGCAGCAGCAGCGTCGCCCCTGTCAAGCCTTCCACCTCTTCTGCCAGCGTCGCCCCCGTCAAGCCTTCGACCTCCTCGACTTCCTCTTCTACTACTGTTGCTGCCGTCACCAGCAGCGCTGCCCCCGTCAAGCCTTCCACCTCCTCTGCCTCCTCTTCTACCACCGTCGCTGCCGTGACCAGCGCCAGCGCCGCTCCTGCTGTCACCACCTCCAAGGCTGGAACTAAGACCTGCACTCGTAAATCCAGCGCCGCTCCTGCTGCCACCACCTCGGCTGGCTCGTGCACTGCGGCTCGGTACGCCCAGTGCGGTGGTAAGGGCTTCTCTGGCTGCACGGCTTGCGCTTCCCCGTACAAGTGCAACCTTGTCAATGACTGGTACTCCCAGTGCTACTAAGCTGTTGCAGTTGCAGCAGGGGAGTTCTTGGTAGATAGTTGATGAGGTGGATGTGGATTCATGTACATACTATTTATTGTTCGCTTCTTGTTCATACTTTTATTTGACGTAAATACACTTGTTTGCTCAACACGTCTTTCTTTCGCTTTGTGTTCAAAGTCAGTGGCAATTCTTGTGTCGGCCTTGTCCAATTCTGTCCCGTTGGACAATTTGGCCCAGAGCACGTTGGTTATTTTCACAAGCACACGAAGGCAGGACAAACCAGGGCAGAGCAGATAAAGTCCGTCACGCAGCGTCAACTTCCTCATTAACACTCAGTAGTCACGGGGGTCCTCACAGAACTACATAATGAGGTCGGCCACGAGTGGCTTCATTGACTTTGTACCCAAGTAGTGGAAGTTACACCCGCGCAGTGCTCATGTGGATGCTTGTACCCCCGAAGCCGCACTTTCCTTTTGTGTAGCACGACTCAACTAGCAGCGGGTGCAGACTGGAGAGTTGAAAATCCACTCCTCTTGTCTGTCACGGGCTGGTGTGTAAGGAAGGAGCACATTGTTGAAGGCGAGAACTTTGAGAGCCCATGAAGCGGCCATTTAAACTCTTTCAGATTCCCATCCTCTCCCTTCACTCACTCTGGATCCATCAGCCACATTGCTTCTTTTTGCACAACATCGTCTTTGCTCTGCAACCACATCACTATCGCATTGCTTGGGCATTCTTCACACTTTTCTTGGTTTTGTATCCACTTGCGCTTTCTTGGTGACGACTTTCCATTCTTGGAGCATCGTCGCGTCAACAACACCAAGGTTCTTCGAGAGGTGAGCTTGACCCATTTTCCATCCACTCCATCACCATCATGGCAGCTAACAGTGTCTTTCCAAGTTTCCCAGTCTCACTCGACAACCGCCACGATGCCTTACACAAGTCTCGTTCTCACTTTTCTCCTCGCCGCTTCCCATATTTGCCACGGCAAACCTCTCCCCACGCCCGATGATCGTCCTTACCACCAGGGCTTTCCTCCTTACTCCGAGGGTTATCCCACCGGGGCTGGGTCCATCGCAACGACCACTGTAGACATCACAGCCCTCGCCGAGGAAACCATCTATCCAGTCCTATACACTAGCAACACAGAGGATGTCCCTTCAACGTCTGCAGAGGCCACCATTGCCACCATGGTTGCCGAGTCTGTGACTGTTCCTGCAACTGCTTTTGAGGTCGAAACTGCAGAGGTCCCGGCCGCCACCACATCTGAGGAGCACGCAGCTCTATCCGACGATGAAGCTCCGTCGAACGATGCAGATTCTTCTGGCGATGAGGCTTCCTCAGGCGATGAAGCTTCCTCGGACAAGGAGGATGGGTCTCCAGATGAGGCTCTTCCCACCGACTCATCGCCAGAGCCCCAGAATCAGGACCATCCCTGCGGCAGATTCGATCCCTGGACCATTCACTCACTTTCTCGGAACTGTGATGACACTGACACGGTCTGCGACTGGTCCTTCATCATTGACACCAATTGCCCCCCGCTTGCTCCTACTCCTTGCTCGTTCTCCATCAAGTCTCTCGGCCCCGATGTGCCTGCCTCGCGCTCTCCCAAGCATGAGAAGAGCGAAGATGACTTGTGCGGGCCGTATGAGGTGCATTCGAGCTGGAGCGGCCAGTTTGGTCCTGGAGAGGGGTTCACGACGTTGAGTGTCATTGATGACGGGAACAAGTTGGTGGCGTATCCGGCTTACAGGGATGATTTGTTTGGCAAGGAGGACGCCACGGTTCCGGACGTCGAGGTTGCGGTCTATGCTTTGGGTTGAAGGATGTCATGAGTAGTAGACTTAAGGGCTGTTCAATGGGAAGAAGTATCGATACTGTATTGTTCATTGCTGGAGTTTGTCGAGTATTGGATTATGGGACTGACGAAAACATTGTTATGGAGTACACGGTAGTCAGGCGAGAGATGAGTAATTGGAATCACATTGTCCCTTGGATGCTTTTTCTTCCCTTCTTGCTCCATGAACTACTTTGCTCCTTTAGCACACGTATGACGGTCGAGTGCCCACGCACCATCAATTCTTTGGTATTGACACATCCTCAACATTGTGCCACGGCCCATCCCCGAAATGTCCGGCCTCGAATCGCTCCATCGGTGTCAACCCCTTGGATTGGGAGGTCTTCGTCTTGTCATTCCTGTCTACCCCATGGTGGTTGCGTTCCCACCGTTTTTGAGCTGCCTGGGTGATTCCACTTCCTTGTTAGCCAATAACTGGTTTCTTTCTCTCTCAACTCGCTTCAATGGAGGTGCTTGACAAACCTGTAGCAGAAGTCTTGTCGTCCGATGAAGACCTTTGGCGGATCTGGCTCAAAATAGTATTGGCCCAAGATAGTATTGAGGTCGTCATCCACGATTGGCAGACCACACACAGCCTGAGAGAAAGAAACCAATGAATTGATCAATAGTGTCAAGTTCTGCTGGGAACAATGCATCGAGGGGGATAAGTGCCATGTCAATGGGAATTCCATCTAGATCTACTTGATAGAGGAATGGAACATCTTGTTCGCTTTGTCCGTGGGGAAATGAAGCGCCATTACTCTACCGAGCGTGAAATTTCCTAGGCAAGTAAGAGCACAGCGTCACTAGAGTACATGATAGCCACACTCATCCATCATGATGCAGGCATTCGTTGCAAGATAGGTAATTCCAATTGCCAGAATGAAAGGCGGAGTGGGGTGGCACCAGACGGTTGATGCAACTTGATATGAATATCTGTTGAAGCCATCATCGGTTCTTGGCAGTTGGCACACGTCCTCCCTCCTTCTTCGTAGGTACTTTTCTCTCTCTCTCTCTTTCTCTGTCTGTCTGTCTGTCTCTGTCTCTCTTACAATCAATCAAGAGTTTCCTCACCACTACGTCGTTCACCGTGATGCCTCTATCTGCACGGATCAACAACATATTCTGGATGTTGGTGCGTCGTTGCTTTAGAAGGAGAAAAAAAAGAAAAAAAAAGAAAAAAAAAGACATAAAGGAAAAAAGGGGAAAAGAAAAGGAGAAAAAAAAATAGAGAAAAGAAAAAATAAGGGAGTCGTAGCATGTGACCAGCCCAACTTTCACTTCACTTCACTAAGTTCACTTCTCAAGCTTCTTTTCAACGAAGGAGGACTGATCGAAAATGAATAGGTATGCGGCCGTAACAAAAGCGTACCTACCAAAACCCGTGCGATGCCACCGCAATGCCACCGCCCAACATGAACCCCGCCACTACGCCGCCTAGGTGGAAGTATCCAACAAGCCATTACATGTAGATAACCATCGCAGAACCGGGGATGACCTCTAATAATCAGGACACTACCTAGTATAGCCCCGTTGATTATACTACATTGGTACTCAACAAGCTATAACCCAGAAACGGATGGATATCCAATACCACCGCTAACAAAAAGGAAGGCAGCCGTGCAAGAAACGCAAGGCTCGGGAGGTCGGGTGTTCCAGGCCGAGCTGGATAAACTGAGGGATATGTGGCCGCCGCGAGCTCCGAGACGAGCATACCACGATCTGAAGGACAAATCGATACAAAGCGCTCGCAAAAGATCACATGTACGCTGAGGTCAGAGAATCTTGCGCCCGGCTTGTGGTCCAGTCCAACTACCACTACATCCGGCAAGCATGTAAACTGATCCGCAACCTGCCCGGGGCTAGCAACGCGATCAGTGACCAAATCAACGTCGTTGCGGCCATCAGCAGGGGTTTCAGGCCCATCGCAACCACCTCAGGCAGTGATGGTGGGATGCAGGTTAGTGAGTGAGTGACCTGACTCTAGAACTGCACTGGTAGTCATCAGCGCCGGTGCTGGCACGACGCAATGAACTCAGTCTGACGATAATCTCTCTCGGTCGGCTGGCTCCTTAGCTCCAGTTCCAAGACCCAGATGCTATGCCATTTAGCCCTGCTTTGTTCGTCAGTCTGGCGCAACAAAGCCAGAGCTTTTGTGGGTTATAGAACAGATTTTGGCTTTCCTATCATGTGTTTTACCTGATTATAAAGACCCATTCTATAATCTTGGAGGTCTTGAAGGACACTCATTAGAGGTTTCTGTGGCGCCACAAACCCTTGCCATCATCCCATATCTCATCAGACGGAGGACAGTTTCTCTCTTGAAAGGCCTGAAAGCTCTCGAATCTCCATGTTAAACATGCAATAATCGAAGTACTAAACTAAACACATAAATTACCGGTAGTATTGTATTGTGCACTAGATAGGCACCGACATCTTCCGTATGGAATTTGTCGACAGTCTTCTCGGTAAAATCCAACCCCCACCCCTTTGGGTTCACATCGCTGATAATGATCAACAGAAGAAAAAAAGCCAAATTAAACACAATTCATTCTTTTCCGTGTCTTCCATTACACAACAACAGTGTTCCCACCGCCGCCAGTATAGGGTGGCGGCGGGGATCTTGCCCTAGCAGAGGTAGCCGTTCCTTTGGGTGGTGCTGGCTGTGTAATTGGGAGGTGATTGGCCGATTGTTCTTCTGTCCAACTCTTGATCGCAAGTTCAACGAAGTACACTTCCAGCATGCTCCAGAGGATATCGAGAGGTCCGACCAAACACACAACAGTGATTTGGGTGCGTCGTACTTGGGTAGAGACTTCGTGGAACCTGGTTAACTCCCCATTGCATGCGGTCCAAACGTCTTCCGATCTGAACCAAAACCGGACCACCCCGATGATTGCATAGAGTACGCCGATTGTCATCCATGAGGATACGGTTGGTGGGGGGTATGCAGGCGGCTCCTTTGCAATCATGTTGTCGTCCGTGATGCTGAAAGTCTTGGAAGACTGTTGCGATTATGTCAGAAAGGAGTTGGAGAGGCAGGAAAGTGGAGAGCAGAATGGTAAGCGAGAGACATACCTGGAGACTACTGAGTGAGCTGGGGGTGGCAGCTGAGCGAGGGCGAGTGTGTTGCGGATACTACTGGCAATGGTAGAATTGTACTGTGTAGAGAAGCTTGCTTTGTGGAAGAAGAATTGAAGGGAGCAATACAGAAGTTTGAGTCCCTTAGGTATGTTTTCATCCTTGAGACCACGTCATCCTTCTGCACGAGCGAAGTTCACTTCTACAAGCATAGAGGTACCTCTAAGTAAGCAGGGGCATGTTCGAAGGTCCGAGGTCACGGTTGCCGAGTTTGATGTCCTCTGTCGGCCAGGAGAATAGCGTGTTAAGAGGTTCTGTCCTTCCGTTGTTGGCAATTAGGGATTGGCACTTGGTTATTGCCTTGTTAGTACTTTAAGGTTGAGATGAAAGGTGCAGTGGCCCATAATGTTTCTGTCCTGTCTGTACCGCAAAGACTCGGGGCATCCAGATTGAGCTTTCTGGGAAATCACCTCCAGGCATAATCTGGAAGCAAACTGCACGAATATGTGCTTTTTATGTCTGATAAGAAGAGTGGTGGAGACATCAAAAATCACCGTCTTCCACTTGCATATAAATTTTGGTGGGCATGAATGTTGCAGTATGCTTCCAGATTATGCCTGACTTCCCGGAAAGCCCAACCAGGATGCACCGAGTCCTTGCGGTACGAAGAAAGTTCACTTCCGCAGTAAGGTACGGTACCATCCAATACAGTATCCCGCGATGTGGGCGAGCCATTTTGCACCTAGGAAGGAGCCATTCGACAACTATTGACTCCTGCTTCTGGTGAAGACTGCCCGGAAAGAGCCAACTGAAGGGAAGTGACCAGATGCTCTGGTTAGAGGTAATCTCTACTTCGTTGCGGGCGGTGCTGGCGAGTTGCATTTGGCCAATTCCCCTCCTTCCCTTTGCCTGGGATTAATTTCTTCCGTTGCTTGTATCCTCCAATAACGCCCACTCCCGTCACTTCTGCCTTTCCTTTCAACGCGCTAAAAGCGCCTTCGACCATCTCTTAACGAACCACTTTCCATCGCCATAATAAATCGCGAGAACACGGTTATTACTGCACGCGGCGTCACGACCCATCCATACATTGTCTTCGATCATCGACCATACTCAATCACTACCTTAACAGTCCATCAGCTAGTAGCGTTACGTTGGCGCAATGGCAAATCCACACGACAACACGGAGAACCGGTCCAAGGGCGCCCCTGGACAGGAAGCCGGCCAAGAAGAATCCTAGTTGCAGTCTTCGTCTCCTAGATCCATTTCGCAACCAGATCCTCACCATGGTCTCTCGGAGGCAATAGCCTCGGGTGGAAACCCTCCGGAAATCGTCACATCAGGATCGCCACGTACTGTCGATGAAGATGTGGCAGAAGAGCTTTGTGGAAGTTCTCAAGATTCATCGGCGTCATCATCCAATGACCCAGCCTCATCCCCTTCAGACCGCAATTTGACAACAGCCACCCTCCGACCCGCACAGCCAGGAGGGGTAGAGAACATCGCAACAGAGTCAGAGACAGAGCAAGAACCCTCGGTTTCCGTCGCTGAACCATCCTCACCTAAAGCCAGTCAATCAGAGGCATCGATATCGTCCAGGGAGCCGTCGCCGCTCCATCCTCCACAGTCCTCTGACGAGGCTGGGGAAGAATGTCGTTATTGTCTCCGAAAGAATCGAGGAGGCACACTCTACGACGAGACTTCCTTCAAGTAAGTGGAGGTTGCCCAGAGATAGAGCATAAGAACTATAACAAAGGCACCCAAGAAGAGCGACGAATACAAGTGGGCGTTGAAGTGTAAAACCTGGGGCTAATACTCGTCATGCTACAGAGCTCACATGAGAAAACAACATCCCTTTCCTTGCCTTCAAGGCTGCGTAGACCGTGATTTCACTACAGAATTCTATCGCCAGCACCACTATAACAGTTTAATCCATAGCCCCAGAATCGCAAGGCAATATAAATGTGGTCGATGCGGCTATACTACGGACCGTCGCAGTAACCACGTAGCGCATCTCGGCAGACAACAGGCGTGCCGAAAAATGGCCCGACCAGCCATGTACGAGTGCATGCACCACGGCCCAACGAGTCTCGATAAGGAAGAACACCTCTCCCATCTCGAGGATGATAGAGTGTCAACTAGACTGTTTATGTGTGGTCGATGCGGCCATATTGCGAAATTCTGCCACGACCACCTAAGGCATCTCCGCAGACAACACCCGTGCCCGCAAATGAAGGAGCCAAAGATGTACGAGTGCAAAACCCACGGCCCGACGAGCCTGGATATGGAAGAACACATTACTCATCTAAGGGACTCTTCTTTACACCCGTGGGTGCAAGATGATGAATAGATTTGCGCTCGGGACTTGTGTATCTGGGGTGGTGCTGGATCGTAGTTGCATCGAGTGAGGCCGAGGGCAAAATTGCGATATAATACAACGGAGACTGAAGGATGAGTTGGTATACGCCAGTTGTAAGCTGAGCTGGTCTCTGTCTGAGTGTCTGGTAATCCGGTCTTTATGTTTCATGGGGGAGTCCCGGACCGGAAGCTTGGAACAAACGGTGTGGAATTGGAGTCGAGCGTGTAGGTCATGGCACGGCAAGGCCCGGGCTTATTACGTATCTTTTTTTTTTTTTTTCCTGCTCCAGCTTTTGATGCCCAGCTGTTTCTTTTGGATCTCTTCCTGCCTTTTTTTTCAACTGACATGGGATTTGGTTCCTCTGTAGCTGGGCTCTGCAGGATGGGTTTGAGCGATCATTATCACTTGTGGTCCCTTGATCATTCCTTGGCTAGATAGACTGCCCTAGAGATAGCGTGGGTGTTTATTACTTTTAGACAAGCTCTATTCCCAGGATCTGATCATGTTTTGCCCGCTTTCATTGTACGGTTTGTCGTGGCCATAACTATACATGTAGTAGACGTAGATGAGGGACACAGGCAACAAGACTCGAGAGTACTACCCTACCCTTGTCTACTCCTTTTTTTCGGTCCATGTCATACTTTCTTTCTCTACCTTGATCTTCTTCTGTCTTTATCACACATGTTTTCATACAACAAAACGCCCCTCTACTGTCCTCGATTGTCTTCATTGGCCATGTTTGGTGCGACTTCAACCATCACCATAATCATGTCACATGTGGCCGGTCCAGAGCTGGACACCCCGTCGATAGAATACCATAACAGCCCGTCGGTAGAATTTGCTGCATCGAAACTTTCCTTGTGCTTTATTCCTTCGAGTTTCCATTGCTTCTTTGGCTGTTTGTGGCTTGTCTGTCGACGGCGTGGTAGTATTATTTTGCCAGTGAGGTGTTTGTGTCTGTGGAGTCTGCAGGGGCAGGTTAGTGAACGCCTTATTGTAAGTGATAGTGCTGTTAATATCTTAGTGTGGTTGCGCTAAGGTTATAGGGGGTCGAGTGTTAGTGCTGTTAGCGGAGAGCTGAGATGGGACGGGACGAAGTTGTGGATCTGGTCGCTGCTAGCTCCTGTGGTGGAGGAGGACGGAAGCCTTTGTGGCGCGAATTTGTGACCAGGGAGTTTCACGGAAGTCTGTGAATTTGGGCCGTGGCGCCTACGATATCACCAGTGACCTGCCCCAAGCCCCGTAAGACTATGGGAGCCGCGTCCTCGCGCCGCAGACTCGCATATGCCTGCCGTGTGTGAACAAGCAATGAAGACTTGGGTTTCCTCATGACTTGATGGATTACCAACCTCCAACGTACCTTATCAACTTTAGCGGACTGGGCATTCTGTAGCACTTGACTGAGGCAAGGTCAGGGGCTGGTCTACCAAGCATCGAAGCTACGAATTAGATCTTCCCAATGAATGCATTGGCTTTCTTGACGGATTGTTATTCGTCGAGATAATTGGGGTTAACTTGGGGAAAGTGGAGTGCGAACCCAGGCTATGTGTGGGGGCCGAGGGGCTTCGCTGGAAGAGGTCTCGACATTTCCTCTTTCACATGAAGCTTTCCAGCACGTGTAGTGTATAGCGTTTAAACTTGACGATCACAACTCAACCAGGCTACCAAGTGAATGGTGTGATGACCCATCAGCTACACTACAGCATCTCATGGGCATTGAATCCTCCAAGATTCATGTGAGACGGCGGCAACTGGCAGGGAACGCCATTGCACATAGTGCTTGGACTTGTACCTCCCCAGCCCTCCTTCCTATTCGGTCTGAGAGTACATCACCAGCCAAAGTCCCCAACATTTTGTGCCGATCCCCCGCCTTTGGATTCTCTCGTTTTCGTCCTCTTCGCTCCTTTGTTCTCTCCTCCAAAGTTCTATTAACTGGACATAAACTACGAGACTGATCGCGTTCCGATTTTAATTGACCGGATGGCCCCAGAAGTAGTACCATTTCTCTTTCTTGGATATCCGTTCCGCTGCCCCCTACCACTCCCTTCCACACTTCGCGAACAGCTCCAATATGGCGACCTCTCCGGCACCTGAGAAGGTCGAATCCAACGGCCACGAACAACACGAGACCAAATCTGGCGCCGGAAGTGTTCAAGCCGTCAGCAGAACTACTACTCATGATGGTGAAGATATCTTGGGTTTGCAAGACCTCGACCCAGCTCTCAATAGGAAAATGCATTTGGTCAACAATGTGAGGACGGCTATGTTTCCTGTTCATCATCCTATGTGGTCTTGCGCTAACAACCTCGACTCGCGGCAGGCCATTGACGAGATAGGATGGACACCCTACCACACCAAGCTCTTCATCCTCAACGGTTTTGGGTGCGTGAGCCGACTCCATTCCCACAACCCCATGAACTTACCACATTGGCCAGATATGCCGTCGACTCCCTCGTCCTGCTCCTCCAAGGCGTCATCGCAGGTCCAGCTTTCCGCGAGTTCGGACAACATGGATATGACAACGCCATGACCATTGCTGGCTATGTCGGCATGCTCATCGGAGCTTTGTTCTGGGGCTTGGGTGCTGACATCATTGGCCGCCGGTTCGCCTTCAACGTCTCCCTCCTGCTGTGCTCGGTCTCCGTCATCATTGCTGGGGCCATGCCGAACTGGCCGTCTCTGGGCTTGTGGATCGCGCTTATCGGGTTCGGTGCTGGAGGAAACCTGGTCTTGGATACGACGGTCTTTTTGGAATATCTGCCTGGGAACAAGCAGTGGGTGCTTACTCTGATGGCTGGGTGGTGGGGACTGGGCCAGGCTGTTACTGGATTTGTGGCATGGGGTTTTCTTGGTGAGGGATTCTCCTTCGATCTTGATCTTCTGATGGGAGAAAATGATTGACTAACACGGAATGTCAGTCCCCGAGAAATGGAACTGTCCATCGGTCGAGGCCTGCACGAGGCAAAACAACATGGGGTGGAGATACGTCATGTTCACCAGCGGCGCCCTTGTCTTCGTCATGTCCATCCTTCGAGTTACCGTCATTCGACTAAGAGAAACGCCAAAATATCTTCTTGCTTTGGGTGAAGATGCCCAGGTTGTCGAAACATTCCAGTTCCTGGCGTCAAAGTACAACCGACACTGCTCTCTGACTGTCGACAAGCTCGATGCGTGCGGTGTCGTGTTGGGTACTCACAGCAAGAACCGCTTTTCCTTCGCAGAGACGCTTGTACATCTCCGGGGACTGTTCTCGACTCCCAAGATAGCCCTTTCGACTTCACTGATATGGGTGTCATGGGCCATGATGGGCTTAGCTTACCCTCTGTTCTACGTCTTCCTGCCTAGCTATCTCGCCTCCCGCGGAGCGAACCTGGACGTCTCGCCCTTCGAAACCTGGCGCAATTACACTCTCACCAACATCAGTTCCATCTTTGGACCCTTGCTGGCGGGTTGGATGTGCAACATACCTTTTCTCGGACGGCGATACACGATGCTCATCGGCACACTGATGACAGCTGCCTTCTTCTTCGCGTACACATCCGTCCGCAACGGTGCCCAAGATGTCGGCTTCTCTTGCTCTATTGCTTTCTGCCTCAACATCTACTATGGCACGCTGTATGCATACACACCAGAGGTTCTCCCCAGTGCCCACCGAGCGACGGGAAACGGAGTGGCAGTGGCTTGCAACCGTGTCATGGGAATCCTCTCGGCTGTTATTGCTACTGTGTCGAACACTTCGACTAGTGCGCCCCTCTACATCTGCGGGGCGTTACTTGTGGCGATGGGGGTTCTGAGCGCCTTCTTTCCCTTTGAGCCTTATGGCCGCAGGAGTTCCTGAAATCGGGTCTTGTAGCACTTGTCTCCAGTCTACGAAGGGCCAGTTACGGGAAAAGGCGGGAGTAGTCTGGAACAAATCATTATATTCCAATGTTTGCCGTCGCTGTCTTCGTCTGCCTATACCATACATGACCAGTGCACCGCCATGAGACAAAGCTGAGATCCATAAAACAAGAAAACCAAATCCGCTAACTTCTTCCCTTGACCGTGTCCTTTTCTACGGACTCGATACCTCAAACCACGGCGATCAGTCAGATACCCTGCTCAATCAATTCGTTCATAGATAAAAAAAACTCCGAGTGAAAATAGAAAGAAACAGCCGGGTGCGTGTAGTCACAGAGCCCTGGCTGCGGAAACTACACCGCCAACACGCTCAACCTTTTAAGGTAAAGTACACAACTGTACAACTAAAAATCAAACTGATAACGATCGATAAGAAAACCGCAGTGGCGTATTTCTTCACGTCCGTCTCCCTGTGGACCGGGTTACCCCGCTCAAGATCAAGCACGTAGTCCACAGTTCTGATGCTTCTGAAGCTTCTTCTTCTTCCGCCCCATATATTGCGGTTATTGCTCTTTCTTCTGCCTGTTGTTGGCGTTGCTGGTGTAGTTATGTTGCTATAAAGTGCAACGCGACAAGCCACACCATAAGCAGGGGATGGTGCACGCGGTGTAGTAGTAGTAGTCGTACTAGTTTCTGCACTGCGGTTGTTGTCGTCGCTGGTTGTTGTCGTAGCGCCGCCAAAGAGCGCCGCCGCCTTGGGATGACTCGGAGCCGTATATGTACCTCTACCATAGGCTGACGGCGAAGAAGAAGAATATGGATATGGTGAGGAGGTGTGACTGGAGGTATCAAAGGTCGCAGGTAGGCCTGTCTCGAGAAACCTGTCGCGGGCGTGGAAGATGTATGGCGGCGGCTGCCGCGGCCTGTCTTGTGCTGGTCTGTCGATGTCAAGGCTGTAGATGTCTGTGCCGGCTGTACCTTCGCCCCAGGGGGAAAAGGTGTTGGGTAGGGATGATTTGGCGCCGACGTAGCCAAGACGGGCGCGAGCACGAGCTTGGGCGGTGGGAGGGGGTGTGTAAGCTGGTGGTGGTGGTGGCGGGCAACATGAAGATGAAGATGGTGGTGGTGTATCGGGCGGAGTAGGGAGGGCTCCTGATGAGCGTGCAAGCTCGGATGCGTGGCGACGACAGGGAGTGTTGTTGTTGGTGGTGTCTTTGGGGTTGGGAGAGCTGTTGTCATGGACGTCCTGGTGCAAGGCGTTGGCCCATGGGTTGGTTTCTCGGCTGTCTTGGTCCATCCTGGTCAACTCTTGATACCTCTCCATCCTGCGGAGTTCTTGTCCTAGCGTTTTGAGGTCTTTGCCTGTCATGTTGGTCTCTTGTTTAGGTACGTTGATGAGAAGGAGACAGACGGCAAGTTGTTGAAGTGAGGACTATGTCTGGGTGATGGAGCTGTTGGTTGATAATGGTTCGAACTCTTTCGATGGAGGATTTTTGTATCGCCTCGATGGTCTTGGAGGATGCTTTCACTGATGTTCAAAAATAAAAAGAGGGGAACAAGAGGGAAAGAGGAAAGATGCTAGGGGAAGCGGTTATGTACTTTTCAACTGGGAAAAAGCCAACTATCTTGTTTCCCATCCTGTGCTTCTGGTGCAGCATTATTTCCAAGTTCTGAAGGCATTCGTCGACGATTCCTTGACCACCCTGCATTTGAGTTGATAAGGAAGCCTTGGTTTCGACGACAGCTGCCTGCGTGATGCATCGTCCGGATTTCCAGTTTGAAGCCACGGAGCTCCGGACTTGGCTACATGTAACAACATACAACATTGAAGCAACCCAGGCAGCATATCGGACATCGCTTTTCAGCATTGTAATCGCCCGTTGTGCCATCGTCAGACACCCATTTCTGGGAAATCCATGTTATGAAATTGCTCGCCTTAGCTTCGTTAGCTTCCTTGACTCTGTCAACACAATCATCATCATCATCATCATGGGAAATCGTGATTTTGACTCGACTTTAACATGGCGGGCGTTTGGTTCCATCCAAGACATCCGGACATGCAAAGCAGGCAGAGAGAACGCGTTAATGCCGTGCAGCGAGCTTACACAATTGAACAAAATCAAGGAGAGGCGTTTTCCATCACAGCGCCTGCAGAGGCTCTTCCATGTCATCGCAGGTTCTGGTTCTAAATGCTTACACTTGGTTCTCATGCCGCATGAACGGCTCCACAAGAAAAAGGTGGCCGGGCAGTGCTGGGTTTTACTACAGTCATGAGGCAAACTGGATCATAGTTTGGTGGCCTCGTGCGATAGACGAGGGGAGTTCGAGGGAGAAACTTACGCCGTTTTGGCAGTTGACACGGGGGTAAGAAAGAACACCAGTAAAAAAAAAAAAAAAGAAAAAAAAAAAAAAAAGGAGACACGAAAGAAGGAGAAGAAAAAAGAAACGAAGAAAGGTAGAAGAGAGAAACAACGGCGAGGCTGTATCATACACAGGAAGAGGAACAAAAACAAAAGAAAGTGTGTAAAATGCGCGTGCAGGTGCTGTAAAAGGCCCAAACCCTTTATTTGTCACATCGTGCTCGTGCCTCATGCAAGAAGAACCCCCAAAAAAGGCATGCAGAAAAAAGAAGCAGCAGGCCGGGCATTGATACATAATCTGCATTTTGTCAGCTGTATCAGCAACAAGTATTTGTACAAAGCATCCAGTTTCTCGACCAATCCCAAACCTCCACTTACACCAGCCCCTCCCGAAAAACAACCCAAAAAAATCCGGGCGTCGTACCCGACCACGACCAGACCGAATCCCCTTAGCCAGCCAGCCCAGCCAGTCGGGACATACACTAGACCGGGGACCTTGACCAGGGACACAATCGGACCCACACGGCTTTTCTCCTTTCAGCTGTCCTGCTGTCGAAGTTTCTTTGTTGTCGGCCCCGGAGCAATAGGAGGGCAGCTACCTAGCCAAAGTACCTATGTACCTAGTTCTACACTAGGTACCAGTTGGTTGCGTCGGTTGCGTCGGCTGAGTCGGCTGGGAACCAAAGGGAAGGAAGGGAAGGGAAGGGAAGGGAAGGGAACCGATTGGGTATCCTAACCGATTACCTAGGAGCCGACTGGATAGCATCATGGGGCCCGGACGTTTCGGAGTAAGCTACTGTCGGTAGGTAGGTACTGTAGCTAGACCAAGCCTGTTACGGGTGTAAGTGGTCGGTTAGTTACGTATGGGCAGCATGGGCATTGGTTTCCATCCTTCTTTCAGTCCGGCCTTGACGACTAGGGTTGTCTGTTCCGAACTCTACGTCCTGTCGTACGGATTCGTAGAGTCGCAGACAGGCAGGCATCAAGACGGGAGCCACAGTGCTGCGTTGGAGCTGAGGTCGGGATTCCATCGATGTTAAGTTGAGAAACAAGTTGATCTTTGAATCCCATCATTCGTTCAGAAATCCACACGCACCTTCCACACCGTGTTATTTGCTGCTTTCTTCGTTGTTTGTTAGAACCAGCTCCTTCCAAGGGAAACATCATGCCGTGGTGGTCTATTGTGGTCTCTACCGTTAACCGTCTCTCGATGATGTTCTTGAATCTCTTCTGTAGTGCTGAGCCAGGAATTGGAAGCCACCGAGTTCCCGCCACCAAGAACGTGCCTCCAGCAAGGTCAACCCAAGCCTCAACAACTTCACGATTTTGCACCACAATCCAAGATTTGTACGAATGCATGTATGTATGTGTATAAGTATATATACAAACGACGTCCACACAAAACGCCCTTGATCTAAGAGACCATAGAGAGACAAAGCCAATCCTAGCCCCCCGTCCGATCCCATATACAAAACAAGTATGACAATATAAAAAAACAGAAATGCGACCTATCGCTCAACATAGGCCAGGTATCCTGATCCTCTCCTCTCTTCGATCTCTCTCGCTCTCTCTTCTCCTTCCAATAAAGATATATACGTGAACCGGAAAAAATGAACACCTAACCAATGCATTTCCCCCATACCACGTTTGTTTATTTAGACAGTTGTCTTTGTTTTATTCAAAGATCAACTGTTGGTCCTCTCTGCTTTTCTCATTATCTCTTCCCCATCGAGATATACACTCTCTGACTCTAGCCAAGCATTTAGAACTTGACCTTGGCCATGGAGCCCTCCTCGACAAGAGCCTTGTGCATGTCGAAAGAGTTGAAGAGAAGGTGGGGCTCGTGGCCCATACCCTTGCGGAGGCACTCGAACTCGGCCTTCTCAAAGTAGGCCTTGAGGATGGGCTTGTAGACGTCGTGGGCGCACTTGTCAATGATGACGCGGGCACGCTCGCGGGGGCTGAGGCCGCGGACATCGGCGAGACCGTTTTCGGTAACGATGACGTCGAGATCGTGCTCGGTCTGGTCGACGTGGGTGCACATGGGGACAATGCACGAAACACCGTGGGCGTCGGTCTTGGAGGGACGGGTGGAGGGGGTGTGCATGATGGAGTACTTGGAGTTGCGGAGGAAATCGGCGGAACCACCGAGACCGTTGAGCATGCGGGAGCCCATGACGTTGGTGGAGTTGGCGTGGGCGTAGATGTCGACTTCGACAGGGGTGTTCATGCCGATAACACCGAGACGGCGGATGATCTCGGGAGCGTTGGAGACGGACTGAGAGCGGAGGAGGAGCTTGTCATAGTAGTTGTCCCAGTTCTTGTAGAAGCGCTCGAAGCCGGTGGGCGAGAAGCGGATCGAGGTGGCGGTGGCAAAGTCAAGCTTGCCGGAGTCGAAGAGGTCGAGGAAGGTATCCTGGATAACCTCAGTCCAGACGTTGAGGTTCTTGAAGTTGGAGGTCTCGAGACCACCAATGACGGCGTTGGCGATGTTGCCGATACCGGACTGCAGGGGGAGAAGGTTCTTGGGCAGACGGCCGTGGGCGACCTCGTGCTCGAAGAACTCAATCAGGTGGCCGGCAATGGCCGTAGCCGTTTCGTCAGCGGGGGAGTTGGGGAGGGTCTGATCGGGGGTGGTGCACTCGATGATTCCGACAACCTTCTCGGGGTCGACGGGGACCGAAGTAGTACCGATGCGGTCCCTGCACTGCTGGATGAGGTAGGGCTTGCGGTTGGGAGGGAGGTCGGAGAAGGTGATATCGTGGAGACCGTCGAAGCTGGGGATGGCCGTGTTGACCTCAATGATGACCTTGTCGGCCATCTGGATGAGCTCGGGGGTGGCACCGACCGAGGCACCGAGGACGATGGAACCATCCTCCTTGATCTCGGTAGCTTCAACGCAGACGACATCGAGATTCTTGTTCTGGCGGTCCTTGGTGTAGTAGCCCTGTGGATTGAGCGATGGGGGTTAGCAAACTGTTTGCGATGCGCCAGCAAGATTCGCGGCCACTTACGTAGACAAGGTCAACGGGGAACATGGACAAGTGCTTGTCGAAGAAGTTGATGCGACCCTCGTTGATGCCCTTGGCAATGTTCTTGCCGACCTGGTGAGGAGCGCGACGGGCGATCATGTCGAGAGCAGCCCAGCGGTTCTCGGTCTCGGCACCGGCGGAGGCACCGACGAAGAGGCTGTACTTGAGCTGGCCCTGGAGGCCGTTCTTCTCGACGTGGTCAGCGAGCATAGTAGGGACCTTCCTGTAGCACATGGGTTAGCACTTTCTTGGTTTGGCATGCGGTATATTTTCTCCAGCGACATGGGCAACTTACTTGGGGTAGCCGACACCGGTGAAACCGGACCAGCCGATGTAGGCGCCATTGGGGAAGTGCTGGAGCATGTCCTCGGGGTTGCAGAGCTTCTTGAGCATGGAAGGGCGCTTGACGCGGGCCCTGAGGGCCGCCGAGGCAATGGGCGACGCCATGGTTGGTGATGTGGTGTGATTAGTAGAGAGTGTAGAGTGGAGAGGGAGAGAGGGAAGAAGGGAAGATGAGGATTCCTTGACGACACAGAAAATAAAAGGATCGCGAAGGAAGTCAAGGAGGAGGAGGAGGAGCTGGAGGAGAGAAGAAGAAGAAAAGAAGTGGAAAAAGATGCCGCAAGAAGTCGAAAAAAGGGACGGAAGCGGAACAACAGAAAAAACAAATCCAGGCCAGTCACAACGCGGGAATGATGACGGTAATTACAACAGGTCCGGGATGGGCCTTTGCCAGACTGCGGAGAGGGAGGATCCGGAGAGGTCTATTTTGTAGCGAAGAACATTCATTGCCCCTGACGGGAGGATGGAATACATCATCGCCAATCCATCTCCTGACCGCCCGGGATTGGCGGCTCCTTCGTTGCAATTCGATGCTGAGCTGGAGACCTTCTTTAGCATGGCGGGGTAGATTTGCGGATTGAGCTGGCGGCGACGTCGGGGGGGGTTCGGGGCCCCACGACAGCGAACAAAGTGGAATGTGGGCGCCGTTCTGCGGCAGGCAGGCCCAGAATCCCGCTGCTTCATTGGCCAATCTCCCAAACAGTGGTCTGTGCTCTTCCATTTGTCCCGTCTTTTGTCTCCATTTTTTTCACCCTGCGGCCAGAACATCATTGTCGTCCCACCCGCCAACATCCCCAGACAATCCCCCCCCGCCAAAACAGCGAATAACGGTAGCTGCCCAGCTCCTGGCGAGTTGTAGCCAGGCAATCAATGCGACGGTAAAACGCGATGTCTTCACCGAGATAGCCGGTCCAAGTTCGGTGTTGGTTGGGGGCCCGGCTGATATCCAAAGGCTCCGCTGGCCCGGACCAAACACAGTCCTCGCTCGGCAATCACGGAGCTCCCCTGTCAATCAGACACGACCTGACTCGCGGACACAACCGCGACCCTCTCCTCTCGCTGTCAGTACTACACTACTTCGTTCAATGTTGGGGAACGACTTCCACCAACCCGACCGCCATCTGAACACGAGGTCGTCTTGTTTTGCTGGCATTGCTTCGGTGGCCATTCTCCCAAACATCCATATCCCCAGCCATCCCGTCCCCTTCCCCCATATTCGAAACATTTTGACAGCTTGTCATCTCATGGGTTCCCACACCTTCTTCCATACATACCTCGTTCACCTCGTCCATCTCTTCCACCTCATCCATGTATGAGATCCCACTCCCACACGCCGACAAGGACGGGACATGAATCGCAGAGTCGGTGCCAGTATATATAGGTATTTATACTCTCACAAAGCGGAGGATCTGCGTTGCTTCACACCGACACCGTTCCGCCTTGTGCGGGTTTGACCAGCAGCCGGCATGAATGCGGGTTTGTCGGCCCAAGTCGACTCACATGGACAAAAGGCCGGGATGACCCTTTTCATTTCCTGTGGCGGTTCGGTGCCCCCCTTGTGCCTGGTCGGAAACGGTCAGAATTCAACCGGGAAGCACGGAAGGTCGTCGCCGTAGCAGCCCTGTTTCATCTGCCGGCCTCCATCGGCACAGCTGCACACATGACCGACCGTCGGAGGCCGGATGTTGTGGATCCACGCAGTTGCCACCTCCCGCCCCGAGACAACCCCGTCCCCGCTCTCGTTGCCCTTCCGCTCTCCTTCCGTTCAGCACCAAAAGCGAAATTTCATCTGACCCACCAGGAGCCTCTTCCGGCCGGCGTCGTGGTCACTTGTCCGGGTTCACTAGTGATACCCGATTGTAATGATGGCGGCCGGTAGTCGTCGGCGTTCGGGATTGGTGTTACTCGAGATTCGCATCCCCAGAATTCTTGGTTGCTGTCAGGACCGGAAGGTTGACTCCCTCGGCATGTTCCATCCATCACTCGTATGTCACTGTCATCTTGGCGCTCCGTCGTAAGCTGAAGTTGTACCCAGAAACACAAGATCTTTTGGAGATGTGTTGGCGAAATTTGGGTCGTCGGCCTCCCTTTTATACCCAGACCACCCCTTTCAGTTTCTTTGTCATGCCCAATCAGCAATTCTGGTTCGTCCAATCAAGCTCCCCATGCCCTCCTGGCAGAAGTCTGCCTGCAGGGCGCTGTCTGTCAGCATAATCACAGACATGGATGCCTGACATCCACTGGGAGACGCATAGCCTGAATGTCATGGAGGGTCGGCTGCTCATGTTGACACTTCTCTTGCAGTGGTTACATTGAGAAGGCCTCGCTGTGGGGGTGTTTCCAAAGGTTCATTTCTCAATCCCCATCAGTGCTTGTCGTGGTTGGATGGCCAGCCTGTCTTCCTTGCGTTGATCCTCGGCTCTGTCCGGCCTCGAATCAGAGCTCCTCGACGACAGACCCCGTCACCATTTGATGCACCTCATGATACTTTACCAGAACGCACACCGGATCAGAGAAACGGCAAAGCGAAACCTTGAAGGAGTCTCCAGGCTTTATTTTCGTGGCAGGCTCGTCTTTGACAATCGCCGCCTACTCTCAGGTCCAGCTGGGATTTGATCAAGGTGACTCGCCGACAAAAACGCCTGTCGCCATTTCCCGTCATGTCCGTGATGATGATTCCGTGGTGTAACATGGAGGCAATTGTCGTGAGGGGTGGAGATCTAGTCAACACCGCCATGGCTGGGTTGCATCTTGCCGCCAACTCAACTCAGTGCTTCGAGCATCACGGCAGACACCGACTCGACAACAATCAGCTGTCTTCGTCATCGAGTTTAGTTAAAGTTTCTTCAATAAGATTAAGATTCGGCGTTGCATCCGTCCGATACCCGACGGATGTCGGCCACCCGGCTGCACATGGCCTGGAGAGCAAACACTTTGGCATGCTGTAACACGTGTCAGTTTCCGCGCGTCTAACCAAAAAGCCTAAACCTAGACGGTGATATTGTTTGCTTGGGGACCAATCGCACTATTACCACCTTGCTTCTGACTGATATCCAATGCGGTGGAAGGAAACCACAGACCAGTCCGTGTAAGTGCTCGTGTGATTTGAATCGGGTCCCTGTGATCCGACAAGGCTATTGCGACGACGACTATCGAAAAAGTCGACCATGAGAGGATGGGATTCCTGTCGTCATGGAAACGATTCTATAATACATGGTTGGGACCTCAACTTGGCGCTCGGATTGGTTCCACCCGAATGCCGTGTTGGAATCTGGAACCTCCCAAGAAAAAGGTCTGGGCATTTCGGCGACACTGACAACACCGATGGAATGGATGGGAGTGGGAACAGCAGGCTATCCTCTACTTAATGTAGGAGAAACGTTACATGCAGACACCCAATATATGCAACAGCCGAGCTCCAAAATATCACACTCAGTCCCTCAATTCGGCAACTAGAGTATCGCACCTGGGCACACTTTCGTGGGTGAGTGAGATTGTGTCCTTTTTCAGTCTGGCGCTGGCAACCTCGTCTTTCTCCGCACTCTCAGCCACTGGGCTGCAGCCCCCCGGAGATTGGCAAGATGCAGGCAGGGAGCGGAGCGGGGGAAGAGAGATGCGAGTGAGTGGAGGCTGGGGAAAGTGGAGATACGATTACCGCTCTGACGAATCAGCTCTCTGTTTTCTCAGATTGGTCACGTGCTAGTCTGCTTCCTTCTTCATTTGCGATCCTACCCTGATTTTGAGTTTTGGCACAGGCATCCATCCGTTGAAACCTTGAGAACGCAGAAAATGATGCAAACCGTAGTTGGCCCAAAAATACGGTTTGGTGCCAGCATCAGGCGGACACGATATACGATACAGATACGAAGTTATGGGCTATCTCATTCGGGCCGGTGGCCTATTTTTTTCTTTTGCTTATCTCGCATTCGTCTTGATTGGCTTGACCCTCTTTTCCGCCCCTCCTTTACGATTTCCACGATGCCCAAAGAGGATGACGGAATGATCATTGCCAAGCGGCGGCCGCCCGTGGCTGGAACGTCTCTTTTTTTGCGGCACAGTTGGGCGGTGCAACTCTGCCCGTTGACGTGGAGGTATCTTCACCTCCAAATCGTTAGCTTTTGCCGTCCATTTAGTACCGATTCCACTAACAGCTATTTGACCACTGTACTTTCTGAGCATTATCTCGCATTCCACTTTTCCCACTTACACTACACCTCGGCACTTGCCCAAACCGGGTCTTTTCTAACTGAACTGCGACAAGCCCCTCGATCTTCAACATTGTCTCTCCAATTGACTCCACGTGTGTTCAGTTTTTCTTGTCTTTTGGTTTCCTTGTTTCCCAATTTCTTACCCTCTTATTCCTCGGGCTGTGCTCTAGTTAAAAGCCGTCATCTATGACTGTCTGTTTCAACAACGTCCCGCCCAAGTCCATCTTGTTTGCATCCATGAATCGCATTCCTTCTGTCTCAAACTGCGCCGTGGCTTTGATCAGTCTGATCATTAAACTCACTCAGCTTCTACATTCCTCCTTGGTTTTGTTTACCGTGTAACAGCAGGGAAAGATAGAGGGACATGGGATTCGGTGCCTTCATTCAACAAATCGGCCATTAGTTCAACCAATGTCAGCCCTTACGGAGTCAGTCACGAATTACGTTGGCCGAGCGTTGCATTGGATGTGGACTACCTCTAGTTCTAGCTTGCGGGATGGCACTGGCAATGTGTCTTGTCTTCTGCGTCCTGTCCTGTCACCCTGCCTGGGCCACAGGTACCCTGCTTGCAGCATGCAGTGCGTACAAAGGGATGTTGCAGAGCTTCGTCTGATTTACACTACATACATATTTTCTATTTTTGACTGGCCCGTCTCACCGTGACGAGGGAACGAGGTTACCTTCCTTGCTTCTTGGTATCTGGGAAGGGTCGCGTATCGTCATTTGTCTCAACGTTACCGCTACCCTTCTTTTTGGACATCCAATACATCGAGCCAATCCTTCGGGCTGTACTACTGCACCGTACTACTGTACTTACCGTACCCTATCTAGTCGCGTGCTCATTGCAACCAAATGAAAGCAGCAGCTTTATCACCTTATCTGCGTGTCAGATATTGGAACGCGGGAACCAGAATTGATATCAAACGGGACGGACTGCATGGTGGTTGATGAAGTGGCACACATGATGCTCTTCTATCACCTTATCATCATTTTTCTTTGGCTTTGCCGCTGTTTGCTTCGGCTTCCATTCTTGGTTCTCAAGAGGAACATATTAACCGTGCGAACCCGTCATGGCAGGCGACTATAGTACGACATACACTAGCACCGCGGCCATTCCTTAGTACAGTTTACACAGTTCCAGATTCCCTACCCCGTACCACCTCCTCGGTCCTCGACCAGTCTCACACTAGTTCCCCACGCGCAACGCCGTCGAGGCTTGGCGCTTGACTTGTTTTCTTCAACTGGTCCCCTCCCCCAATTCTTGACTTCGAATTTAATTCACTTCCTTCCCCCCCTTCTTCATTCCTCTCGCGAACTGTTCACCCATCGACCCAGCAGTTCTCAACAACGACAACGACAACAACAATAACCATGGCCGACGAAAAGCATTCGGCCGTTGCGCCGGCCGTCGATGCGACTCACAACGAAGCTAGCGAAGTCCCCAGCAAACCTGGCTCCCACCAAGATATCACCATTCCTCCGCCTCGTCCTCCAGGCTGGATGTACAAGGGCTTCAAGGTCTTCGGCCACGAGCTCTGGTACGCCTCGCCTCTGTTCCAGCTCCTCTTGGTCGCTGTGGTTTGCTTCATGTGTCCCGGCATGTTCAACGCCCTCAGCGGTCTCGGCGGCGGTGGACAGGTCGACCACACGGCCCAGGACGACGCCAATACCGCGCTTTACTCAACCTTCGCCGTCGTCGCCTTCTTCTCCGGCTCCATCGCCAACAAGCTCGGCGTGCGGTTGACTCTCTCCTTCGGCGGTCTGGGATACGTCATCTACATCGCTTCCTTCTTCAGCTACAACCACAACCAAAACCACGGCTTCGTTGTCTTCGCCGGCGCTTTTCTGGGTGTCTGCGCCGGTCTCCTCTGGACTGCCCAGGGCACCATCATGATGTCGTACCCGACCGAGGACATGAAGGGCCGCTACATCTCGTGGTTCTGGATCATCTTCAACCTCGGCGCCGTCATCGGCTCCCTGATCCCTCTCGGCCAAAACATCAACAAAGTCGCCGGCCCCGTAACCGACGGCACCTACGTCGGCTTTCTCGTCCTCACCCTGATCGGCGCCTTTCTGGCCCTCATGATCTGCGACGTCGACAAAGTCCTGCGCGAGGACGGCTCCAGGGTGATCATGATGAAGAACCCTTCGTGGATCACCGAGTTCAGGGGCCTCTTTGAGACCATCACCTCGGAGCCCTGGGTCGTCCTCTTGTTCCCCATGTTCTTCGCCTCCAACACGTTTTATACCTACCAGTCCAACGACATGAACGGCTCTCAGTTCAACACGCGCACCAAGGCGCTCAACAACACGCTTTACTGGCTCGCGCAAATTTTTGGCGCTATTATTGTCGGCTACGCTTTGGACTTCGCGGGCGCGAGAAGGTCGATTCGCGCCAAGGGCAGTTTCGTCATGCTGATTGTGCTGACTATGGCTATTTGGGGTGGCGGGTACGCGTGGCAGAAGGATCAGCCCACACGCGAGCAGACATCTGAGGAAGGATTCGTGACGGTCGATTGGACGGACGGTGCGAAGAAGTATGTTGGGCCCATGTTTTTGTACATGTTTTATGGGTTCTTTGATGCCGCGTGGCAGACTTGCATTTACTGGTGAGTTACTACCCTTTTCTTCTGGACGGGTTGGCGGTGTTCAACAACAAAACAAAAAGTGGCCAGAAGACTAACAAAAATTTTGTTCAACAGGTACATGGGCGCTCTCTCCAACTCGGGCCGTAAGGCCGCCAACCTCGCCGGTTTCTACAAGGGTCTGCAGAGCGCTGGCGCCGCCGTGTTTTGGCGGTTGGACGGGTTGAAGAAGCCTTTTGATACCATTTTTGGTGCTACTGTACGTTTGTTTACATATCCCCCCCCCCATCCATCCTCTTATCCTCTTTTGTTCACAAATACTGACTGGATTGGTTTCTGTCTGTCACAGTGGGGTCTCCTAGGCGGTGCTCTCCTCATTGCCGCGCCTGTCATCTGGATGAAGATCCAGGATACCGTTGCCCTCGAAGAAGATCTCAGGTTCAGCGACGAGACCGCCGCGGATGTGGCGGGAGCGGAGGGTGCGGCGGCTGGTCAGGCGGCGCAACCGGAGACGGTGGCGGTGGGTGCACATGGTGGTGGTAGCGAGACGGCTAAGGCGGTCGTCTAAGCCTTTTTTTTTCTCTGAAGTTCTGATTCATGAACTTTTTGTGCGGATAACGGAACGCACCGGTATATGGGACTTGTTTTGAGTAAGTAATGTGGGAAATGATATTTTACGACTGGAGGAAACTTAATCTATGGGCGGATAGGTGGCTGGGTGCATGGGTGTGGATAATTTGGTTGAAACTTGCCGGCTTGCAAAGGAGAAGAGTTGTTTACCTACCTATAGATTTTACGATACCACGATACGCGGATGGACGGATGGACGGATGGACAGACGGACTAATGACATAATTGCGCTGTACATACTTCCTAAAATTAATGTAGTCATGACTCTCATATTCCTGCTTTTTACTCGAAAAATGCTGATTTGCGTGCGTTTTCACCAAGTCGTTCCTAATTGTTTTAGTGCCCATCGGTTGTAAGAGCGCTTACAGTTCAAAGTTGAAGCCATCGCCATGTCTTGGTATTTCTTGGCACTCTCCAATTGTGTGTGGACACGGTCCCTGGGTGTCAGGCAAGGTCACCCCGTCGAGTGGTGAAAAGTTATCTTAACCAACCAACCGATTTCACATGCTGTGTCCATCGCTTGTCACTGTGCCTTTCTTCCAGTTGCTTATGCATGTCCTCTTTTTTCTTCAGACGGAATGGTTACATGTGGATGATTGTAGTAGTATGTGACGATCACGGGTTACAAGGCAATGAGAAACCCTGAAGTGATCTGCAAAGGTAGCGGACTTGGCGATTAAGGCGGATGATGATGGATTTGAGCGGAGTCAATGTGCACGGAAGTGAGGAAGCGCGTCGATATGATTTACTGCCGTAGTAGATGCAAGAGTACCTCTAGGTACTTGTAAAGTCCCAGGAGTACAGTACGGGGGCCGAGGTGCAGTCTTGGTGAGCGGACGGGATGTAACACCGAACTGAATATCATATGTATTGTAGCCTTTGCCTAGAGGTAGGAAAAGTGATCGGGGCAGGTTGAGGCATCAAACGCCACTCCCTCCCGGGTATATCTAGGTAGGCTGCATTGGTTTTCGTTTCTCTCTTCCTGTAAACAACTCAAGAATCAAGCCCTTTTTGTTGTCGCCTTTTCCAGCTCTCCGATAAAAGCATTTCTTTGGCAATCAGCTGCTGTACGCGGTGCAATTGCCGCTTGACGTCGGTTATATCCACCTTAGGCCGGGCTAGTCGTCCCCCACCCACCATCTTTTTCGGGATCCGTTCGGGTTTCTAGCGGAGGGCTGACACCCCGGCCCTCAGCTCAGCTCTTCTCTTCTTCCACCAGACAGACCAATCCAAACTACCTTCGATTGATGCTCCCCATTGGTTGCCGCTCTTGATTCAATGTGCCCACGGGTCCCAATAGAAATGGACAGTAAGTATAAGGCATCAATGCATTGTCCGCTCTCTTGGTTATCGTAACGGCTTTGTTGTCGACAGCACTGCCAGGACAGCTTGCAGGTTCCACTCGGTTTTACAGCCCTACCTGCGCCACGCCCCCATAAGTGGTGCAAGCTATGCGCTAGGCAGCTGCTGATACATTACCTCGCCTGACATGGTGAAGTAGCGTAGAGAATTCGCTGCCTCTGGCACAACACGAGCATCCTCGACTGCCTCATCTCAGTCGTTCCCTATAGCCACCATGTCACAACAGCTTCACAATACGGAAGATGGGGAAGACGATAAGGGTCAAGAGCAGTCTTGCCCTGCACCTCCGCAACAAATTCCCGCCGCGACCGCTATGTCCGCTACCCGTATGCCCGTCCCAGCCGCTCCAGCTACCGGTTCCGCCGATACAGAGATGCCCGCCAGCATGGATAACACTACCACTAGCTCATCCATGCGCGTCCAAAGCCAGAAGCAGGTGAGCGTACTTCTTTCCCCCCTATGGCATTTCAGGAATATGCTAACACCTATCAAGAATCTGTATCACAGCGTTCCTTTGTTACGTGGCCAGATTCGCTTGCTTCAACTATTGCCACATGAAGACGAAGCTGCCGCAATACACTGTCGGCTCTTCCGCACCACATTGGACTCAAGAGGCACTCGTTTGTACGAGGCCCTATCCTACGTCTGGGGCTCTGGGGACAAGCCTCGTTCCATCTTCGTAAATGGACGCGAATTGGCCGTCGGGGGAAATCTTTACGCGGCGCTGTTGCATCTTCGAGACCCCTCCATTGAACGAACGATATGGATAGATGCCATTTGCATCAATCAAGAAGACCCCGAGGAAAAGAGACAACAAGTTCAATCCATGGCTAAGATTTACGCTCAAGCCACTCGTGTGATTGTTTGGCTTGGAGAGGAGGCAGCCGGTAGCAGCCAAGCGCTTGAAGAAATACGCACCGCAGCCGGCAACGACCAACCGCTCGAAGACATACAAACCGCAGCCGAGCCGTCTACAGGACAATCAGACGATAAAGTGGAAATTCTTGCACTACTTCAACGACCGTGGTTTCAGCGCATCTGGGTAAGGGAACCAATGTCAAAGTATAATGACGAACGGAAAGAAACTGACAGATTGATGCAGGTGCTTCAGGAAGTTGCCGCGGCTCGCCATATACTGATCAAGTGTGGTTCTGCTGAGGTTGACGGATATGCATTCTGCTTAGGCCTAAATGCATTGAACCTCTTCGATGAACTCCGCGCAGACCTGCGGGCTCGAATCCTTTCGGTAGCCTACCTCATAAGAGGCGCAATCTTCCGGCCCAATTACGCAACCACCTGTCAGACAGACAATTTTTCTCTTGACATACGCCCTTTGGGTGAACTGATAGAGATGTACCACACCCGCGAAGCTACCGATCGTCGTGATAAAGTATATGCCCTACTCGGTATGAGCTCCGATAATCCAATCGCAGCAGGATTGTCCGCCGACTACACGATCTCGTGGAAACAACTCTTCAACAAACTCATCCAATTCTCCTTATCTCAACTGGTCTCTGTAGGCCTTTGGGATGATAAGGAGATTGCTGTCATTGAGGGCAAGGGTTGCATTATTGGCGAAGTGTCCTGGGTCGAGCAAAACGCTACTTGGAAAGACAGACAAGATGTGACCATCATCTGGAGAAGGGCCCCCATTGCATATGAGTTTCGCTGTATCCTTCCGACCACACCAAAATCCATCCGTTGGGGAGATGTTGTCTGCCTTCTTCAAGGAGCATCGAGACCCACGATTCTCAGGCCATGCAACGATCACTGGGCGGTTATAATGATTGCGGTTTCCCCAGCACACGATGTAAAGAGCAAAGCTACCTTTTTTAGCAGACATGGTAATATTAAGTGGTCACAACTTTTACAATCAGTAACAGTCTTTCCACACGATTTTCTCCTTATATGGGATTGGGATCTAGATCCAGACAGGCAGCAGGATCAAGAGAACTACGACTATCTTGCAAGCGTTCCCGTAACAGGGCATCCAGTGACAGGGCTGGAAGGTTGCCTAGATGCGGCGACTAGGATACGAACTGTCAGATTGGCATTACAAGAGGGGCGGCAGCACGAAGCTGCAGTGGAGCATGTTCGGAAAGAAATGACGGCTCTTGATAGGGTATTGAGGAACATGAACACCCTTAAAAAGGATTGTCTAGGTTCCGATGATTCAGGACAGGAAGATGCAAAGAAACTGGAAACAATGGTAAATCAACTGATGGAGGAAAAGGGTCCCTGGGAGCTTCTGAAGTTGGCGGTAAAGAATGGGCATGAGATGTTCGTGAATTTGCTTCTGGACACCGACAAGGTCAACTTGGATTCGGAGGAGCTAAATGAGGCGCTATGCCAGGCTGCGGAAAATGGCCATAAAGCGATCGTTGAGATGCTTCTTGGTACTGGCCAAGTTGATGCAAACTACTATCAAGGCTTTTGGAAACAGACAGCGCTACATTTGGCGGCGGAGAAGGGGCATGAGGCGGTTGTTAAGCTGCTTCTTGATTCTGGCAAGATTGATGTAAACCTCAAGACTGATGAGGGAGCGACAGCCCTGCATCATGCAGCACAGTTTGGAAAAGAGGCGGTTGTCAAGCTGCTTCTTGATTCTGGCAAGGTTAATCCAAATCATCAAGATAAACGTGGACGGACGGTGCTGCATTCGGCATTTCAGCATGAGGCAATTGTTAAGCTGCTTCTCGATACCGGCAAAGTTGATGTAAATCTCAAGAATGATTGGGGAGGGACACTACTACATTTGGCAGCATTAACTGGGGAAAGGACGTCTCTTAAGCTGCTTCTCGATACCGGCAAGGTTGACGCAAATGAACAGGACAATTCTGGACAGACAGCGCTGCATTTAGCGGCAAAGGATGGGCATGAGGCGGTTGTTAAACTGCTTCTTGATTCTGGCAAGGTTGACGCAAATGAACAGGACAATTCTGGACAGACAGCGCTGCATTTAGCGGCAAAGGATGGGCATGAGGCGGTTGTTAAACTGCTTCTTGATTCTGGCAAGGTTGACACAAATAAACAGGACAAAGATGGACGAACAGCGCTGCATTTGGCGGCATATTGGAGACAAGAGGCCGCTGTTAAACTGCTTCTCGATACTGGCAAGGTTGACGTATATATTCAGGACGAAGACGGAGACACAGCGCTAGATCGTACGGCATCTAGAGCAATAAGTCGATTGTTGAGCTACTCAGCCTTGCATACAAAGAGGCAGGCTTGAAGGATAAGTCCACCTCAAGTTAGGTAGCTTCTAACAATCTTTCCACTTGCAAGAATAGATCTTGGTTTACTCTCTGATGCTTCCTTGGGTCGTCCGTCGCACATCTGAACAGCACCGGTAGAGAAACCGTGATAGCTACTTATATTATACGAAATCTACAAGCACCACAAGACAAGATCAACCAGGTCCCCCTCCCACCCATTTACACAAAAGACACTAGCCAAAATTTCCCCAACCACCTCTTCTAACTAGAGTTATACTTGCAATAATCCAGATTATTCGGGTGATTCCCCGCCCACTCCGGGAACGGCACCGCCTTGCCCGACCCACCAAAGACGGCAAACGTCGCAATGAAAATCATGACCTGGGTCCCACCATCCAACGCCGCTGACACCAAATAATTCCACTTGACGAACCACTGCGGCCTATACCTGCGAAGGTAAAACTGGCCAAAGGCACCCAAGATATAATAACTTGTAATAGAGGCATTAAGACCGACAAACAATTCGCCCAGGTACCACAAGATAATGGACGTGTTGAGGTAAGACCAAATACGCTGGCGCGGGAAGACGAAGCGGTGCATGATATAAAAGGGGAGAGGGGCAAGGAAGCCGACGAGGTAGGCGGCCGTGACCCATTGGTAGCGGGCGCCGATGGAGAACATTTTGGGGGCAATGGCCCAGGCGATGGCGAGCGTGTTGAATTGTTGCACTTGGGCGCCGGACCAGACGTTACTGCCTTCTGCGGACTTGAGGAGGGGCGCTTGGTTCTTGACGATGCTGATCATCATTACGTAGTTGAGAAGGGCGCCGATGACGCACCCGATCATTTGCGTGGTGAAGGTGGCGCGGGGGGAGAGCTTGTTCTGCTGGGCGAGTTTGAGGTCGCGGAGGAGGAGGATACCTTGTGAAAGACCGTTGTAGGTGTAGGTTGTGAAGTACATGTTTGCTAGGGAAAGGGGAGAGGTTAGTAAGTACTTAGATTGATTTGGGAGGGGGTGGAGGTCTTACCCAATGGCTTGCCGGGAAACATGTAGCCCGCGAGCATCTGCATGACTGGCTGCATGTTGACGGTGAAGCCCGTGATGGCGGACTGGGCACCGAAAAAGATGATGAGCACGATCAGGAGGAGGGTGCCGATGATGAATCCCCACCACGGCAAAGTCGACTTCATGACGTAGAGGCAGACGATACCGACGATAATGCTGATAACAAAGACGACGAAGTACCAGCTGCTGGGCACCTCGTCGTAGTCGACCATTAGACGGTAATGGGGGTCGATGGTCGGGTCCTGGCGGATTGCCTCCTTCTCGGCTTCAGTCCGGGCCCCGGTGGACTTCCAGAAGAAGTACGTGGACGGCTTGAGCAGCGACTTGAGCTTGTCGAGAGTGATCCAGCTCCAGGCCTTGCTGACGTCGTCGTAGTTCCAGAGAAGCATATGGACCAGGGTGGCGGTGAGACTGGCGTTGGTGGTAATGAGATAGTTGACGTACGTGGCAGTCAGGTACGGGACACCAACCTTATCGACGGCGTCAGTGTCGATGGTGAAGTCTGAGTTCATGATGAGGGTCTCGTTATAGACCACGTAGTTGGTCGAGTTGGAGCTGCCGTCGTACAGAAGCTGGGACATGAAGGGGAAGTCCATGCCTCGCCAGATGTTGCTGTAGTAGAGACCCATGGACAGGATGATGCCGCCGAGGTAGCCGATGAAGCTGTTGGTGAGGGTCTGCAGGGGCATCCACAGCGGGGAGCCGAAGCCGGCGATGTAGTTCCAATCGAAACAGATGTTGAGGAAGCCCATCCCCTCGTTACCCTGCGAGCCGCCAAAGAGGTTGGTGAAGACGGCATTGTTCTGGTCGGCCAGGCAGAAGATGGACACGGCGGACAGGATGGGGAAGATGTACTCGGGGAACCACTCCCAGCAGAAGATGGCGACGAAGATGATCCAAAAGACCTTGAAGCGCTTGGCCGTCTCGGCCTTGGGCTTGTGCAGGGTCTCCATGACGGTGGTGATGGGCAGGTTGGCAGGGTACAACATCTTGGTTGGGTACAGCAAGACGGAGCGCATCATGCCAGCGGCACCGTAACCGATGAGCTGAGAAGAGAGGGTGATGAAGACACCGGCGGCGGTGCTGGGGTAGCCGCCGTACCACAGCTCCTGTACCGAGAGGGCTTCCGTGGAAAGGGCCGACACCGAAGCCGCCGAGGCCATGAGGACGGCGGCCGTGTGTTCCTTGCGGTTCCAGGGAAACGGGTTGAGGAAGCGGCCGATGGCCCCTTTCCTCGGGATAAGCTGAGACAGGGCTGTACCCAAAGCCTGGGCGAGGACGGTCAAGAACATAACAGATACGTAGACGACCTGGGGCTTGAAGTACATGATTTCCTGCAAGACACCGCCAAAGACAGAAAGGCCCACACCTGTATCATTTCATTAGCATCGTTAAGCCCGAGAAGCACTGAGATGATTGATGGTTAGGTACTCACCGACAAAGAACATGCGAAATGTCCATGGGCTCAAGGACGGGTCATCGTCGACGGCAATGACGTGGGTGACGATATCCTCGGCCGTCTCCAGCGGACCGGTCTCTCCCTCCAGAGACTCGGGATCGACGCTGGCTGGACCGTCGGGGTGCTTCTCGTCGATACCATTGAAGTCAGCGGCGACCTTTTCAGGTGGCCATGATAATGTCTTGTCGTCGATTTCGCTGTTGTTGTGAGCCATGTTGTTGCCGTCTTCCATGGCACTCAACCAACAGCTTGTTAGGTACTTGATGGAAGGGAGGGAGGGAAAGAGGAAGGGAAAGTACAGAGGGCTCAGGTAGGTATGCCAAGCAGCAGCCAAGATGCTAATGACGGGCCGGCCCTCATATACCCACTGCATCAAGAGAAGTCGCGACCAGTGAGCTGCGTCCTGCATTTCCGTATTAGGCAGGTGGCATGGTTGCACCACCCAGCTACTGGCCCTATCGCGGGAATACCTTGTCTGCGGGGAGACCTGCCAAGAAAGGCAGTCAGGTACCTCTTAGTGCACTGATAAAGGATGCCGTTGGGCCGTTGGTGTGCCTGTGGTGCCCCGATAGCGGACAACATTTGCCGTGTGTATCACTCCACGCGCTGTCTCGACAACATGATAGATACGGTACGTAATCCAATGATATGGGCTATAGGTATCTTTATCTCTTCGTATTCAACTGAAATTGGGTCATGTTTGGGGACACGGCAACCGTCCTGCGAGAGGGGGGGAAGGGGGGTCTTACGAACTCTTTGCAAACTGTCTTTGGATAATTAGAAGTTTGGTAATTTATACTCAGGTCCCTCGCGGGGTTCAACTGTTTGAATACCCCAACGTTTACTTTCAGATATGTTTAGCAATTATTTGACCGTTACTTGATAGAGTTCTGATGAGTAGTTCAAATTCTTAAAATGTTTGGAAATCCCGACGCTACGTTGGGTGGGATCGTTAATTGATAGTGAATTGGCCGTCGTAACCGGTTCAATATCGGGGGTTCCCGAGGTGTCCAAGTACAGATCAAGAGACCCTCCCCCCCTTCCCAGTACGGAATGCACCAACCCCAACCATCAGAGGCAAACCCCCCCATTGCTTCCCGACGTCTTCCTCAATCTACCTACTGACTGAACACTCTCCTCAAAACATCGCAAGCTGAGGCTGCGTATAGAATGCCCACACCGCCGCCGGCATCCACGTCCTAAGCCCGTCATCTGACGACGGGACCGGAGCATCAGCCGGCGCCGGCCCGTGCCCACCGTCATGCGCCGCCCACACCACCGGATATCCCGCCTTACACCCCGTCGCCGCTGTCGTTATGTGCGTCCTGCTACCTGCCCGCGGCTCTGGCGCCCCCGACATGGACGCACAGCCGTTGTTCCTGACAAACCGGTCCCGCATGCTGCGCCCGCCTGCCACATTGAGCGTTCCGTCGCTGATGCCGTGGATGCCAAAGTAGGCAACCGGGTCGTTGCCTCCGCTGCAGCCTGATAACTGGCCTCCTGCGATAACGACTACAGCCCGGAAGTCCTTTGCCCGTGCGCAGGCAATGGCGTATGTCATGGCGCCGCCGTACGAGAAGCCCATGGAGAAGCGCTGGGCCTGATCGATGCAGAGTCCCGAGTCGATATACTTGTTGATGACGTCGATGAACTGGATATCCTCGCCGCCCGCATTGGCCCACCCGTTGTTCAGACCCTGCGGTGCGACAAGAATGGCGCTCTCGTTGGCCATCTTTTGCATGCCGTAGTAGGCCCACGGCTCTCCGGTAGTGCCGCCACCGGCCACCTGGTCCATCGTGCCGCCGACCCAGTGCAGGCCGAAAATCACCTTATATCCCTTGTCCTTCTGGTAATTCTGGGGCACCCGTATGGTAAACTGGCGTTGTTTACCGTTGACGGTGAGGGACTTGACACCTGAAGTGATAGTTGGCGCCGATCCGCAACCCGGACTACGACCGCTGGCTCTAGCATGCGGGCCCGGGATCGTGGTGCTGAGGGCTTCAGTCAGGCAAGCAAGCCCGAGGAGAAGAGAGCCGACGAGATACATGTTTGCAACTGTGAGCGTTATCACAAGTGCCAAATCACGGGAATACTTCAACACTCATCGACCCGGGTGCTGTTGGCTTATAAGTCTTGTCTTCATATCCTTTGATCTGCAGTCGGCCAAGCTTTTCCCCTCGACGGACCATTGTCATCCGAGTGTACCATACATTTTCCGATCAGAAAGGGAACCACGGCGACTATACTCCGACGATTTTATTGTTTCGCCAAGCGATTCGACCCAATCAACGATGTAGGTGATGAAACCGAGCACTGCTGCCCTCGCTGCCGCTTCAATCGATCATCACAGAGAACTACCAGCGTCACCGGTACCGCCACTAGAATTTGGACTCGGTCAAACAAGACATGGGAAAGAGGCCCGCCACCGACGACACTGGTCCAGGTATTGGTGGTCTGGCAGAGGCCAGTCGCCAGGCGCCGCTGGTTTCCTGCTAGCCTTCCTACACGACTTACGATGGGCGTAAATTTTGGGACGCGTCCCATTATGAAATGGAGGAGTTATATCTCACTTGCAAGCCATGCAAATCCAATCAACTATCACCGCCGTTGAGTTCTTTCCAGTTGTCCATGACACCCGCAATATACCAATCCTTGTGTTATCATGCACTTCGAACCTTGGTCGCTATCACAGATTTCTCATCCAACATGGACATAGCGGAACACATCCGAATACAGCTAACAGACGATGATGACAGACGCGAACATGGAGACAGATGAAGGGAGCACATTTTGCATCTACCCGCTCGCTACCTCTACCTTACATAACGAGAGCTACCCAAGTTGTCATTCGCAGAGTTCCGCCCAAGCCCCAGCAACTGTTCGAGCCACATTTCCCCGACCAGACGATGGTTGCACCACGGTGCACTCTGATCACGACGAGGTGGCGTATCCGGCAGCCACGACATCGGCCTGAACCTTGTCTTCGACCGCATCGGATGGATAGCCAGTTGTCATAACCCCCTCATAAAAAGTGCCCTGCGCCCCATGACTGTTGTCGCCACCAATTCCGAGGATAATAGCGCCCTCCTTCTTCATAGGGTAATAGCCGGACGGACGCGGGCCGCTATAGTACGTCGACAGCGATCCCGAAGCCGCATTACCACCGCGGATCGCCCACAAATTTGACGAGTCCCCCTTGACAACCGCCGTAACAAAGCGGTAGTTAATCGCCGGGTCGCCACCGTTATACTTTGCGTTCTGCCCAGAAAACAAGCCATTCTCCAAATCACCCATAATCCACGGTCCGCTTCCCTGTCCCGTTCCCCAGACGTTGCAGTTGCCAAAGTAAATGGCCTCCATGTGGCCCGCACCCGTGTCAACACTGTTGGTCTCGGCGTTGCCATAGTCGAAGCAGCACCCGCCATTGTAGTGCGTCCCGTCCAAGACGGCGTACATGCCCTCAGCCGCATTACCCGTGGCGGTGCCCTTAGCATCGTTATTGCGATATCCGGTACCGGGCGCGACCTTGACGCCGTACACCTTATGGCCATTCAAGTAGACCGGCGCAGCAGTCGCATCAGCGAGGTTGTCGTATCCCCCTGGAGCCGGACCGCTACCGGCGCTTCCGGGCGGTGCTCGGGTGAGGTGGTTGCCGCGGCTGGACTGGTCGTAGATGATGGAGATGACGCATGTCGTCCCGGCACAGAAGGAGTCCTGCGTGGAAGCATTGGCGACGCCGCCCGCGGAGAGAGGTGCGATGTCGGTGGTGGTACCGTCAGTACGCTGTACTTGGTAGAGCGGACCGCTGTAGGCACTATACAGGGCTCGAGTGGTGCTGTGTGCGGCTACACAAGGGTATCCGGCCGCGTCGTAAAGGTCGCAAGGCCCGGCTGTGGCCGTAGTAACGAGGCCCAGAGCGAGTAGTGCGCATGTGCTTTGTCTGAGGGTGGACGGCGACATGTTTCTGGTTGATTAGGTACTTGTGCAACAGTATGAACAGGATTGAGCTTGCCTGGTTATCTGTGATACACCATGACCGAAGCAGAACACAACTCTATTTAAACACCCATGATATACAAGTATCTCTTCCCCTTCGTCTGCTATTAAGATGACGTAGTGAAAGCTAGCAAATCCCTCCGCCGCCCCTTGAGCTAGAAGCGCCAAGCTACGAATGGTGGAATAAGTTGTCTTTTCGACTGGTCAAGGTAGTAGTCGGTACCTAATAGTCAGGTGTAGGTAATGTTATGATGGGACGTGATGTGGGGAGCATCGAACGTCCACGTGCAAGTCCTTATAGCCGTGCCAGTAATAACACAATTCACTCTGCATTGCTACCTATCCCAGCTGTTGATCTTGCTTTTGATCTCCAACCCCATCTCCCTATGGCGCGGTTATTGCTTCATTATGTAACAGGTTCACCTCCGCTTGCAGTTTTCCTCCTCTGGTGCTGGAAATAAGACATGAAAGCAAAGTCTTGTACGAAACCAACTGAATCCCACTGTTCCTGTTGGTGGTCTACTTCCACCAATCGGCTCGTCACCCTCCGCGCATCGCATCGCTTCCTCAACACGACGCAACATTCATGTTATATCCGCGAACCCCTCTTCCACCTAACCAACCTAAATCCAGGAATGGCCAACATCTAACGCTCCATCTGGCATCTATACCATCATCAACTCACATAATAATACACAGCTAGCTATCGCAACTCTCACTCCCACTTCCTCTCATCACCCATCACCACCCCCAAATCCTCCCCTCCTCCCCTCCTCCCTTCCTCCCCTCTTACCTTACAGCACCACACAAGAACCCTCCTTATCCTCCCCTTTGTGCTCCCCAAGAATCAACTCCAAAACCCCATGATCCCCAAACGCAGCCACCGCCCTCTTACACAACTCCCCAACCCGTTCCTTACTCTGCAAGTCAAAAGGACAAACCAACCAAATCGCACCCGTCATGAACGACCTCCTATACTCATTCATGACCTGTTTGTCTCGTCTATCAAACTCGGGCCCACCCAGTTGATGCAGCGTCTCAAGATACCGATCCAGTATCTCCCACTCGTATTTCCGTCTGTCTTGCACAGTCATCATCGCCGTGACGAAGTAGACTACGTCGTGGAAACATGAACCGAAATGGAGGGCTGACCAATCTAGAAAACCGATCTTTCCTTCTGGAGAGGGAGAGGGAGAGGGGGACATAGAAGGGGAAAAGAAGATATTGCCTATGTGTGTGTCCCCGTGTAAGAGAGTTCGGAATTTGGGGTTGCGAGTGGAGAAGTAGAGGTCTAAAGCCAAGTTGAAACGTTCCCCGTCTTGAAGATAGGTAGGGAGTTTAGGCCGGTCGGGATCCCGGACCGTTTCGTTGAAAGTGGAAGGTGAGCAGAGGAATTTCAGTGCGGTGTCGTAGGTATTGCTTATCCACGGGTGGGTTGCTTCGCTTTGGCCCCAATATCGCGCGTGCAGGGCAGCGAGTTGGTCGATACCCTCTAGGACGGTACTGAGCGGGTAGGATGCAAGTTCGGGAGGGAAGGTGCAGCCTGAGGTGTAAAGGTCATCTATGATGGAGATGCCTTGTGAATTGTTGGTGCCTGCCCACCAGGTCTGAGGGAAGTTGATGGGTGTGTTTTTGTCTGCGAGGAGTAGGTCTGGGGCGAGGTGGGAGAAGAAGTCGGCTTCGCGCTGGGCGAGGGGGAGGGTCCATGGTTGGGAGGCGAGCATGGTAGGGTCGAAGACGCCTTTGATGCAGATGTGCGTGGGTCGCGAAGGGTGGTTGTCGTCCTCGTCTTCGTAGGTGATGGTGTAGAAGAGCTTGCTGCCTGTTCCCCAGATGGAGCGGGTGTGCTTGAGTGACTTGATTTTGTGCCCGAGCTTGGAACTGAGCCATTCGGGGGTGATTTCGGAAGGGACAGTGGGGAGTTTCTGGGCTGATGATATTGGTTGAGACATGGTTGCTGATGTAGTGTTCCAATGCCTGATGTGATGATTGAGAAACTTGCAAGGTGGAGTGAGTTGTTGAAGGGGATTGTGGCAGAATTTATGAATGACTGGGAGATAGGATATAACGCGGAGTCTGGTCAGTTGTCAGTGTCATGCAGTAAGCACTAGGATCATGAGTCCGTGATAGGTACCTCATGGATGACGGTGCAGGAGTGATGGCTGCTAACTTCCGAGCTGTATCGGGACTACCGGCAGTTCGGCACCCATGGTCAAGCATCGAGATAGCTTTGCTCAGATAGTCTCCAGAAAAGTCTCTCTTACCTCCATGGTAGCAGCATGACGAAGCCACCCAAATTTCCGTCCACAACACAGAGTGTTGATAATGCCGGGGACCACGTTTCTGGGCATTAGGAAACAACAACCTCATCACCCATCCATGTAATGTATAACAACCTTCCCAAATCACTGACCCCTCCGCCATCTACTGTCGCTCGTCTCCACGTAGCAGACAACGTCTCCATATTCACCCGCGTATTCCACCCCGTATGATGCTGGATATCCTCCAGCGCCCTTAAACAAGCTTGCCGCTCCTTTACTTCCACAAGACACTGCCCCGCCACCGTCAGCAGTTGAACAGCATTAGCCCACGCAATCGTACATCGGTTCGCAATCGAGTTAGCCACAATCATCCGGGCATATTCCAAAGCCTTGTTCGCTACCTCGGGCGAAGAAAGGAGCGTCAGCCTAGCTGCTCGCGGAGTCGGCTGGGAAAGGGTATGGACCAGATAAGCAGTATGCAACATCTGCCAGGCGGCCGACACGGGACCGTTGACGTAGCGAACGGTTTCGAAGGGGCTATAGTCGTCGTTGTCATTTGCTGCTGGGATGACGCTCAACGCCTGGCACATGGCTGGTGCTTGGGCTTGATGTCGCAGGAGTTGGTCGCCGAGACTGGTCCACTCAGCTGTGAGTTTGTCGAGCACAGTGTCCGTGTCGTCTTGGTGATGATGGTGATGGAGGTGGTGGTGGTTGCGTGTGCGAGCCCAAAACCTGTGGGTGGATCCGAGAAGATGGACGACTTTGCTTTGCCAGGCGTCGAGGGTCCATTCCCCGGTAGGAGGACTAGGAAAGTAGCCCAACGGTAGTAACTGGCCTAGATTTACTGCTGCCGACATGCCGGATGCGAGGGAAGCGAGGATGATCATGCGGTAGTAAATCCAGAAGCTCTTTCATGGGGGAAACAGTCAGCATGAAGTTGGCCGTCGTTAGAAAGATAGGTATGAGACACGTACCGCCTGTGCCAGTCCTCCGCTTCGGCCGTTCCAGTGGTGCATCATGACAAGCTCCCCCGTCCCCTTTAGGTGCAAGTTCCAGTCACTTGCTTTACTTTCCACCATTTCGCAGTGAGCAATGAGCAAACAGCTGGCGAAAGTGGCTGCCTCGTGCCCACTATCGTTTAAGCGCTCATATAACGTCTTGAGAGCTTCGTTGTAGTACACCAGGGCATCGTGATGACCGCGGTCGGTGACGAGCGAGTACTGTCTGGCGGCACATGCGAGGCAAGAGAGAAGCACGAGGCGGTTACTGAGAGCCATGCGTGGAAGGGCGAGAGAAAAGTATCGAGATGTGCTGTCAAACATGTCAAATCTAGGCCCGATGATGTCGGTGTACCTTGCCATATAGAAAGCGTCCTTTTCGTTGGTGATGGGAGCGGCCACTTCCGTGCGTGAAGCTGGTGAGAAGACGTGGCCCTTGTTGTTTGTCTTGGAGACGCCCAGATTGTTATGAGTGGCATCGCAAGGCAGGACATGGTAGAGCTGGGACACTTGGAGTGTTTCATCGACGAAGCCCACTATTTCCAGTCAAGAGTCAGAGCTGACTATTTCATATCTAAAAGTATAGCCTTACCGATTTGTACGGGACTGGGCCTCTGTTCCCATGCCGGGCCTGTATCGGGTTTCCATTCCAAGGCTGTAAAGAGGATATCGTCACCGTGGGAGCACCGGATGTTGCGTCGTCGACAAATGCCACATGGCTGCTGCTGGTCGCATCTAACGTGGCGGTCGCGACATTGTTTGCAAGCTGTTGGCGTGTCAACACAACGTCTACATGTGGGCATGGGCATGAACCAAAATATGGCGTACCGAGCTTGCTTCTTGAGCTGGGTCCTCGGACCTGCTTGGAGAAGGCCAGATGGGTGGTGTTCACATATTGCATGGCTACCTTGCGGTGAGAAGAGATGGTGTCTTGAGAACTAAGTCGACGGTTCGACATGCCGTCAAGTAATTGGATCATTCGTTGTATGTCTGGATGGCGAATTGAGGCGTTCACGCGGGGATAATGCCGAGCCATGTCGTCTTTGTTTCTCCTCCGCTTCTCCGCCCACGCTAACGTTATTTACCCGGACCAATTCCAGGTTCTAGCCCGGTTGGTCGGGAGGCCTTGGCACTGCAAGGGACGCCTGTGTGCACTTCCATGTTCCAATAGCTTTTATTCTTTTTTGCACCTTATCTATCAAAAACCATGATATAAGTCGCGACCAGTGAGCGCCGTACTCCTTGCAATGAATGGTATCTTCTCATTGTCCCTTGTCCCACCTCCCTCTCGCTGTTCAGTTGCAGAGGCTAGGCAAAAGGTTCATCTTGGTGGTACATCGAATGTCCTCCTCTGGAAAGTCACCCCAGAACTGGCAAGCAAGGGGTTAGCTATGATTTTCAGTTGCGAAGAAAAAAAAAGAAAAAAGAAAAAGCTTACCTGAGCAACGGCTTGTCTAATACGGTGCATATTCTTCCCCGGTTGAATCTGGCCGACGACACCAGGGTTGTCTGACTCGGTGTTGGTGGGCACAATCATTGGCCTGCCAACGAAACACTCGTGCGTGAGAAGCGCGAATCCCAGAGCCTCCTTGGCGCCAACGGGGATACCGGTCTCGTCGATATATGTGATGCGCGTGTTGGGCAGGCGCTGCTTGAGATAGTTGACAATGTTGGGGTTATAGGAGCCACCGCCACCCATGTAGATCTCGTCAACACCGCCTTCGGGGCCCCATCGCTCGTAAGCGTCGGCAAGAGACTGAGCCGTGATGCGGGTGATGGTTGCTACGCAGTCCTCGGGAGTGGCGCCGTTGGCCAACATCCTGTCGCAAATGTCCTCCGCCATACGGTCACCAAACGTCTCTCGACCAGTGGTCTTGGGAATGTCGTGGACAAAGTAAGGTCCCGCAAGGATCTCGTCCACAATCGCTTGGTCGACCCTACCCTTGGCACCCATGGCCCCGTCCTTGTCGTACTCCTGCTGGCCGTCGGTAAAGTAACGGACAGCGGCATCGATAAAGACGTTTCCTGGGCCCGTGTCAAAGTCATAGCAGCCCTGCACATTGCCCTTGGGCAGGATGGAGAAGTTGGCAATGCCGCCAATGTTCTGGACGGCCCGGTTGAGGGTAGGGTGGTTCAACAGCAGCGAGTCGAGAGCGGCAAAGAGAGGACAGCCCTGGCGGCCGAGGGCCATGTCGGAGACGCGGAAGTTGCCCAAGGAAGTGACGCCGGTGTTTGCGGCAATGATGGCAATCTCGGCCATGTCCAGGTGGGCACGCATCTGGTCACCCTCAAAGAGCTCGGGCAGAGGCAGATGCCAGATGGTCTGGCCCTGGCCACCGATCAGGTCGACATCCTTTGCCAGGTCGAAGCCTTGGTCCCGGGCAAACGAGTTGACGGCGTCGGCAATGACCTCGCCGAGCTGGATGTTGACAATGGCCATTTCCTCGGGGGTGGTCTTGTTTTCCTTGATGAGCTTCATGACGCGCCTCTTGACCTTTTGCGGCATTGGGTACTCCCCGTAGTGGAGAAGCTGCATGTTGAGGGGGGAGGTGGGCGAGTCCTGGGTGAAGTGGACGTGGACGAGGTCGACTCCGTCCATGGAGGTTCCGGCATTGTGGCCGATGACCTTGAGAGAGCTGAAGGGTACGATGATGTTAGCAACGGTTTTCAGACGTCGTGTATAGGAGAGACAGATGGTTGGTTTCTCTTACAGAGGAGCACCCCACGAGAGGTTTGTTGCAGAAGGCATTGTGTCGATTCGTTAGAGCGGCGGCTTTGGAGGAGGACTAGAGACACCTGCTGGACATGGAGAGGGAGGAAGAGACAACTCATCAATAAATAACCTCGAGGCAATGTGTGTCCAGCCCCCATTCCCAAGGTTGGCCCCGGAGATGATTGCCTTCCCGACACATCTCGATCTAGACTGCTCCAACTTGATGGTTCATGATAACTCGTAGTCGACTGCCGTTCTTGGCCGTGGAATGCTCGTAGTTGACTGCTGTTTCGGGGCGCACAATGTGGGGGAGGCTGGTTTCCCCATTGCCGAGTCTCCGCCATGCCCAGATACCCCAGGACTACCCCGCATAGGTATCACCCCGCAAAATACCCCATTTCTCCATTCATCGATCTTCAGGGCTGCCGCGCCACTTGTGCCACTGTAAATAACCCCCGCTTTGGGTCATAATCCCCGCAGCCACCATCGACATTACCGTCAAAACGGGGTTTTTGCAAATGGAGGTGCTTGTGCACAGACCATTCATACTCATCTTGTCCACTGGATAACTGCCAATGGACCAAGACAGTGGACCACCTGGAGAGTTGTTCCCCCGATACAAGGGTATAAGTGCTCTCTTTCATCACCACTTTGGACGTCGCGCCAATCCTCTTCCGTCCCGGGGATGACTGCCTTCTCGGGGATGACTTCCCTCTCGGAGATGGCTACCCTCTCGGCTACGGTACCTACACTGGATGTTTGCTCTCCAAAGCCTGGACGGAACTTGTCTCAGTACTAGCCTCTGCCTTTTCTGGTCTGGCACTTCAATCAATGACTTCCCAATGATGCGTGCCAAGGGCATTCCCCGGATCCCCAGAACGTCGGTTTCGGTACGCGGTGAAAGGGAAGCATTCATCGATGTCTATAAAAGCATTCACATTCTCACCGTGAATTGACCCACGTTTCCAATCATGTTCTACCCAATCCAGTCCTCTCTCTGGCTCCATTGACTAGGCCTATTATGCCCCTGGAGAAATCCCACCATGTTCAAGTTGAGTCCGTACACGACAACCATGGGGTTGAGCGGGCTTCCGCTCAACTTTGCGGTCGCCGGCATTGCTGCCATGGCCTTCTGGCTGTTTGGGTAAGCCTTGTTCCACTTCCAGCCGGCTTGACTCGCTCATGGCTACCTGTAACTAACCACGCTCACGGTGTCTAGGTACGATATGTCAGTAATGGTGAGTACCATCTCCAGCTTCCCCTATCAGCTTCATAAACCAGCGGCAGCTAACAACCTATTAGGGAGGTGTCATTACCGAGAGCCCATTCACCTCGGTCTTTCCCTCAATGGAAAACCCAAACATCCAGGGCATTGTCATTGCTGCTTTTGAACTCGGGGCCCTGGTCGGAGCCCTGGCATGTCTCGACATTGGTGACCGCCTGGGGAGACGGTCAACTGTCTGGTTCGGCATGCTGTTCATGTTGGTCGGCGGTATCCTTCAATGCGCTGCCTGGCACGTCGGTCAGCTAGCCACTGGGCGTGTCATTAGCGGTATCGGTCTCGGTTTACAGGTTGCTACCGTGCCGTCGTGGCAAGCAGAGTGCGCGAAGCCGCATAGCAGAGGACGATGGGGTGAGTCAATCCATGAGAAACGGACCTTCGGATGGAACTTGGTAGCTGACATAGAATAACAAAGTGATGATCGAGGGCGGCCTCCAAACTTTCGGGGTTGCTTGTGGACAGTTAATAGGATACGGCTTCTTCTTTGTCAAGGGACAGGCGCAATGGCGTGTGCCAGTCGGCATCCAGCTCATCCCGGCCTTTATCGTATTCATCTTTATCAACTTCCTCCCCGAGTCTCCCAGATGGCTCATCAAGCACGGAATGATTGACGAGGTGAGTGGCCTTCATGTAACATTCCACCTACATACCATACAAAATCCATGCTAAGCAATAGTCCAGGCCACTCACAACCTCGCCAAACTCCGCGGTCTCGCTCCCGACGACCCACTCCTCCTCGCCGAGCGCGACGCCATCATCGCCTCCTACGAAGCCCAATCCCAAATGGCCGTCTTCTCCTACAAGGAGCTCTTCGACAACGGCCCCACCAAGACTCTCTACCGCGTCGCCATCGGCACCTTCTTCCAAGCCGCCCAGCAACTCTCCGGCATCAACATGGTCTCCACCTACGCCAACAAGATCCTCCAAGAGTCCTTCAATCTGTCGCCAAGCATGTCACACCTCATCGCCGCCATGGGCGGTCTCGAATACGCCTTGTGCTCGCTTCTCTCAGTGTTGCTTATCGAGGGTCTCGGTCGCCGTCGGTCCTTCATCATCACCGCGGCCGGCATGGCCGTCTGCTTCGCCATCATTGCCGGGCTGACTAGTACTGCTGATAGGACGTGTCAGCTTGTGGCTGCGGGATTCCTCTTTCTCTTTAATACCTTCTTTGGTTTAGCCTGGGTTGGCGGGCCGTTCCTCTACAGTGCTGAGATTGCACCTTTGCGATGCCGCTCGCAGGCCAATGCTATCGCTAGCGCCGGTAACTGGTTGTTTTGCTTTATCGTCGTCATGATCATCCCACCTGCTTTGGCGAACATTGGGTGGAAGACTGTAAGTCCTGTCCTGTCCACTTGTCTGACCTGCCACGTCGCATGTACTAGTCCCAACCACTAACTCACGATGTCTATTGCAGTACATCATCTTCGCCGTCTTCAACTTCCTCTTCGTCCCCATCATCTACTTCTTCTGCGTCGAGACCAAGAAACGTTCGCTTGAGGAGCTCGACGTCATTTTCGCGGCGGGCGGAAACCCCGTCAAGCAGGAGAAGAGCATGCCGCACAACATGACCATTGAGGAGTCCAGGCGCGTTCTCGGTCTGGGTGATCGTACTGCCGATGTGGTAGTGGACGTCTTTGAGCACGATAGCAGCAAGTCGGAGAAGGAGGCTGTCTAGAGCGAAAGCCGAATGAGCATAACTTGGACAAAACGAGCAAATGACTGGATAGGGAGTTATGATTTGTATCCAATTCTGCTCCAATAATATACTGTACCATGCATCTTATATTGCCGCAAAGTGTCAGGTAGGTAAGCACATCAGGGGTCTTTCTTGTCTTTTCCTTAATGTTAAATCTATAATTTTTTTTTTTTTTTTTTTTTTCATTTCCCCTAATCTTTTGCCCCAATACACTCTTTTGCCACATGTACTCATAAAATATCTCGGCGCTTTACGCTATTTCTCAGTGCACCAAGCTGAGCAACCGAGTGTTAAAGGCTCGTTGGTAATACCTCAAGGCTGGTAGCCTGCGAGATGTCAATAGGCAAGCACAGAGTATGGGGGCCTCATATGTAGATCGAACTCCTGCCGAAGCTAATGTTCCACGACAGAAAACCTCAAATAAACTTGAACATTTATAGTCCCAAACTAACCTGCATGGAGACGAGAAAGTTTAAATGAGATGATAGACCATAGTAATATGTTGCAGATTCCATTGCTGTCTGCTGTGGGATGGGAGTACCATCGTCGTTGGTTGAACATGAAGACTGAGATATTTCCACAAGATCTGTTAGCGAGCAGCGCCTATGATCACCTTGTACGAGGAGCAGCACTAACACTTACATACGATGTGGAATCCCACCATGAAAAGTGGGGGGGGGGGGGGGGGGGGG